AATGTGAACCTCAGCGAACACAATGGCCCAGTATGCAGGCACTGAAACCCCTGGAGATCTCTATGGTTTACAATATGGGAGCATTAACCAGTCAACACAAAAGAAAGGAGGGTTGTAGCGAAAATTTTTTTTGAAGTTTGACATTATTAGACAGAATAATCATCAGGAACTTCCTAACTCTCGGGAAATCAGTGGTCCAAAAAAAATCAGAAATTCAAAAGTAGCATATCTCATGACTAGAAATTTCTCATCAGAAAAAGGAAATCACAGAAGGGATCACAAAGTGCTAAAAGGGCTAATGCTTTGCATGCATAAAGCCCTGGCTTAATCTTTGATACTACAAAAGAAGCTTATGACCAAAGTAAGCTTGTGATAAATTCATTTGTTAGCTATGAAAGGAAATTGAAATCTTTTTCACGATCACGATCACGACCATCCTGTTGTTTGTCGATTGCCTCAAGCAGGCCCCAGTAATGTCTCCTTTGTCCTAAGCCTGAGATTTTTTAAAATGTGCCACATTCGAGGCTCTTTCAGGGTTAGGAGAATGAGACCCATTATTGTTACTGGTATTTGGCATATTGGGTACACCACGGGGAGTTTGCCAGACTCTGCCGTGTGGGCAGGTTACATTCGGTAGCCTGCCAGTTTGTCCAAAGTAAGGATGAGATAGTAAGATGTCGCTTCCGGGATCTGGGTTTTATAGTCTCTGGGTCTTGGCCATTGATGGGATTACACGGCGCCAGGGGGCCAGTTGGTGGGTGTGACCCCTGCCTACTGGAACATGGAGGATCTGGGTGGAGGATGCTCAGCCCCGATCTGAGCAGGCTTGGAGATCTCAGCCCTGGGACCCGCATGCCTTTGTTCCTCTGCTGGTACCTTCATGCGAGTGGAGAGTGGTCTCAGCATATAACATTAATTATAAATGTGTCCAGGAAGAAGAGACTTTTTTGACTCTCAACCTTTCATTAAGAACGGTTTTTTGAGAAGAGCAGGACGTCCAGTTTATAAGTAAGACCCTCTGTGTCATGTAATAAAATAATGATTTAAAAATAAGTGGTATTGAGCCCGAGAGCTAGCACAGGGTAAGTTAAGGCACTTGCCTTGTATGTTGCTGTCCCTGGTTTGATCCCTGGTGCTGCAGAACACTGCCAGGAGTGATCCCTGAAAGCCCTGAACACAACCAGATGTGCCTCCAACCCCCACAAAAATGCATAACCCTAGAACACAAAATTACCTTCATGGGCATAAAAAGACTAAAAGGAAAAGTTGACAATTTAACTCAGAAAAATCTACTAATGAGTAATAGTTTATATAGCCTTATTACAAACAAATTTCTCAGCTTTTCTATGTGTACCATATTTAAACTGATCTCATTTACCAGATTCAGATCATGAATGGGCAATAGAATATTTTTGGTTGGATAATCCTCGTTTAAATGAGGTTGACTTGTTTAAAAAATACCAGCTTTTTAAATTTTGATAATGACTTTGGTTAAGCAAGTGCTGTGTGTTTTCCCTTCTAAACATGCACTGGTCTTGCTTAGTAATGTCCACCTTTTCAAAGGTAGTGAATGCATACATGCTGCTGACCCTAGTTTGATCCCTGTGTCACATGATCCCTGAGCATTCCTGGATACTGTGCTGAAGGCACCTGAGCTCTGCCAGGGTGGCCCCGGAATCCCCAGGACCACAAGACAAGCATCACTACATCTGCAGGCCCTCACATTAAACCCCAGTTCCATTGACCAAAAACCATTCAAAGGAGCTCTTGGCGTCCTGGACACTGCTTGGAAGATCTTATCCCACCCTCCTCCCCCCAAAAAAATCCCACAGATTAGTTTTTATTTTTATATAACTGGTTATATTAAGGTACCTAAATATTGAGAAAATCTCATTGTCTCCTGGAGCAGAGAAAGGTTTATCATGTTTCAAACTATGTTCATTAATCTGGTAAAAGCAAGGTCTACAATTAAGCTGGCAGTGCCCTATTTACATTTTTATCTTAATTGTTGTTTGGGTTTTTTGTTTGTTTGTTTTGTTTTTAATCATCCCCAGCAGTAATCATGGCTTACTCCTATCTTTGCACTTGGTGCTTGGGGGACCATATGCAGCGCTAAGGGTGGAACCTGAGTCAGACACCTGCAAGGCGAGCACCTTACACTCCTTACAGCCTCTCCATCCCTCATTTTGGTCTTAACTATAGCGTATAATTAAAATTTTCTTCTCTTATTGAACGATATTTTTGTATGACTAGTGTCTAATATAGAGCAAAATATTTAATACAAATCATCTTAAGGTCATATGCTTTTAAAAAATTCAATGTGACAAGGCATAGTAGCAATTTTTGTTTATCAGTTCTTCACCAAGTGAGACTAGATATAATTCAGAATTGTCTTTTAAACAGCTATTCAAAAATACCTTTATACAACCCTGTAAATGTAATTGATAATGGTGCTTTGTTAATTCATTAAAATGAAGGAGATAAAACATTTGCACAAAGTTGTAAATTAGCTGAATATTATATTATTCATCAGATGTATTGCAGAAAATATTTGAATATATATCCTGTTATCAAACTAGTGGTGTCAAAGGTAAAACTGAGTCACTCTTATTACATAACTATTGTTCTGTGGATTTTATCGTATTAGAAGTTGAAGATCCTGACATACTTGCCCATCACATAATAGTGTGATGACTTAGTGGAGGCTAAATTTAATTAATGGTTTTTTTAATTGAATCACCGTGAGATACAGTTACAAAGCTTTCGTGATTGTTTCATTTATACAGTGTTCCAATACCCATCCCTCCACCAGTGTACATTTCCCACCACCAATATCCCCCATTTCCCGCATGTCCTCCCCCCCAGCAGAGGGCAGAGGTGGGCACCCCAGGGTTATTTTTCCCAGAAGTGGTATTGCTGGGTCATGTGGAAGCTCAATTTCTAGTTTTTTGAGGAATGCCCATATTGTTTTCCAAAAAGGCTAGACCACTCGGCATTCCCACCATCAATGAATGAGAATCCCTTTCTCCCCTCATCCGCACCAGCACTGATTGTTCTTATTCTTCTTGATGTGTGCCAGTCTCTGGTGTAAGGTAATATCTGATTGTTATTTTGTTTTACATCTCCCTGATGATTGAATGTAAAGTGTTTTTAATAGTTTTTTTTTTTTTTTTTTTTTGCTTTCTGAGTGACACCTGGCGATGCACAGAGGTTACTCCTGGCTCTGCACTCAGGAATCACCCCTGACAGGGCTCAGGGGACCATATGGGATGCTGGGAATCGAACCCGGGTCAGCCGCGTGCAAGGCAAACACCCTACCCGCTGTGCTATTCCTCCAGCCCCCTTTAATAGTTTTTTTTTAATACTTTTTAAGATTAAGACTTGAGTTTTTCTGAACAAAAGCCATTGTCAACTATTCTTACTGATAAACACATAATGGCTTTGGAAATCAGCTTTATCAGTTACTGCCTAACTGATTACCAAGTAAATGTTTTCAGTTAATTCATTCTAAAGCTATAAAACAAAACAGTCTTTTGTAAAACTTAATATTGGAGTAGATATTTAGCCATAACTATTGTTGTTATAATTACAAGTAATGTTACATTGTTACACTCTGTACACCTCCCAAACTGTCTAAAGATAAGCACAAAATTTTCCTCTGTACACCTCCCAAACTGTCTAAAGATAAGCACAAAATTTTCTATCTACATTTGTAACAGATACACTTTCAAAGCTCAAATTCGAACACAGAAGTATTATTTTGAACACAGAAGAATTTTTCTTGAGGTCCAGGATGTGGCTTAGCGGTGAGCCACCTCCTTGCATGTGCAGGACTGCAAGTGCAATCTCGAGCTGCTCCACGTGAGCACCGCATCCTCACTCAGCACAGCAGCCAAGTATGCTAGCACTCCAGGTGTGTATTTCAAAGTCCATTTCATTTTGCAGCTGAAGAACTTGCCCTTCGTCTTCTATGGAAGTGATCAATCACTAATGACAAGATAAAAATATATATCAAAAGAAGAATTAAACAGAGTTAGACTATTCATCTTTGTATGCTCAATTAAAACCACATGTTCAATTGATCAGCCTATGACAGAACCTAACAGTCAAAAATACTTTTCCGTAAATAAAATACCTCAAACCTCATCACAAATTAACATTAATAGGTGAACATTCGTACTTCATATGTATAGAAACATTACTTTGGAGACCCAGTTATGTGAAATGTTATCCTATCTCCCAGATTCTTATTCTTCTTAGTAATGAAGAGGAAACTCAGTTGTTACTATATTTTTAAGTTTTTTTTTTTTTTTCAAAAACTGGGGGGGAAATTTTCTTTAATTGCACATTTACATGAACTACATGATATCTTCAATTTTTCTTTATGACCTGCAAAGCCTAAAATATTTACATTCTGACCTCCTTTCCACCTTCTTTTGGTTTGGGGGCCACACCCATCTGTGCTCAGAACTTATTCCTGGCTCTGCACTCAGGGATCACTACTGGGAGTGCCCAGGAGACCATATGTGGTGCCAGGGATCAAACCTGCATTGTCTGCATGCAAGGCAAGTGCCTATCCACTGTTCTTTCAGGCCTCTTCCCCACCCCACCTTTTTGTGGGGGGTGGGGGGGCTGGGGGCATGCCAGCACTGCTTTGGGCTACTCCCAATTCTGTGCTCAGGGGCACACCTGGCAGTGATGCACATTAACTCCTGTACTATCTTTATAGTCCCTAAGATCAGACCTTTTACAGAAAGAAAATCACTAGGTTTTTCTAAAATTTGGTTAGAAAAATCACTAGGATTTAGTCAGAACATGAAGAAAAAAGGTTAATTATAGATATCCTGGCAAACATATTGTTGACTTTTACAGTTGATTATAGGATTTATTGGTGGGGGAAATCATTTTTTTTAATATTGTATGCAGTTTGCAAACCAAACTGAGGTTATGTTATCCATTAGTAGGCTTTACTAATCTAATATTCTTAATTTGGTTTATAGATAACACCAATTGGGCAAGTGGTGAAGATGACCATGTAGTTGCCAGAGCAGAATATGATTTTACTGCCGTCTCTGAAGAGGAAATTTCTTTCCGTGCTGGAGATATGCTAAACTTAGCTCTCAAAGGTATAATTAATAAATCAGACTTGTCTATACATTTTTAGAATGTGTTAATACTGTATAAAAAACTGCAACAAGAGATGTTGGTTGTTAAGTAGCTAAGAAGGAGTTTAGGATTTCTCTCAAGTATCATTGTAGATCTTCCATATCTGATGGAAGGAGAGAAGTGTTCAATGGTGTTGTCCCATAGTTGTCTGAAATAAGTATTTCATTTGTATGATCTATTTAAACCAGAATACTCCAGCTCTGTGACATGACACATGAATGAGAATGTGAACTTGATTTCAGGAATGTAACACCTCATTCCTCCCTTCTACCAGCCCCTGGTAACAAGGAAAAACAAAGTACTAATTTTCAATTTCTGTTAACCCCTATGGTAAAACATAAGGTCAACATTAAATGTAGCAAATCAAACCAAAGAAATGATATATTATCATCTAAGCATCCCTGTCAGTCTATAATTGCTGTGATTACATTGCTTTTTCACTTGAAGTGTTTATTGTAGGAAATGTTGTTCTAAAGTTTGGGGAGGAAGGACCAAGTAAGTAGGACACTTACCATGCATGTGGCTATCCTAGGTTCTGTCCCAGCAGTTTGTGTTTCCCTAAACCCCTCTGGAAATGATCCCTGAGCCTAGAGCCAGAAGGAAGCTTTGAGCACTCCCAGGTGTGGCTCAAAAATAACAAAAAGTTTTAGGGGCAGAATAATGATACAGTGAGCAGGACACTTGCCTTTCATGCGACTAATATGGGTACAGTCCCTCGCACCGCATATGATGCTGCAAGCCAGCCAGGAGTAGGCCCAGAACACTGCCTGGTGTTACCCAAAAACAAAACAAAAAATCTCAGCTTAAGGTTGTCTGTGTGTTTTATTACATAGATATGAAAGTTATTACTTAAGTTTTTTTATCACTGTACTTTTTGACCTCCAAAGTATGTTGTGACAAAGCTGTCTTTTCTTCCATCAGACCAGCAACCCAAAGTGCGTGGTTGGCTTCTGGCTAGTCTTGATGGTCAAACAACAGGACTCATACCGGCTAATTATGTCAAAATTCTTGGTAAAAGAAGAGGTAGAAAAACAGTGGAATCCAGTAAACTTTCCAAGCAGCAACAATCTTTTACCAGCACGGCACTAACTAAAGGAGCCACGGCTGCTGATTCTTTGGATGAACAGGAAGCTGCCTTTGAGTCTGTTTTTGTTGAAATTAATAAGGGGGCTGTTTCACCTGATTCTGCTGGGAAAAGTGGAGATAAACAAGATCTTTAATCTTTTATGTTTGCCTGCAGTCAAACTATAGAGTACTTTTAAAAATTACTTCTTATAAAAAAACTATTAATTTGCAATCCAATTAAAATACTTGTTTTTGGCTATTCCAGGTGTTTTGCTGCTAGAAATTATTAAAGTTTTACACTAATATATTGGTCTAGTGACTTGGTTATATTTTACAGGTTATTGAACCATGAGATTCTTTGGATCACTAGATTTTAAGATTATGGACATTGCTGTCATCTTCATCTTATTTAAAATCCTATGTTAAGTGAGAGTAAGGTTGATGAACTAGAGAATATACAGTTTGCTACAGTAAGGATCATTGATGTGGGGAGTTTTTGTGTGTAATTTTATTTTTAAGTTCTAGAGTAAATTGATTTTGAGTCCTCAGAAATTGAGTGGTAACAAACATGAGAAAAGGCAAAAACTATTTTTACATTAAATAATAAAAATGTTCTAATCTGAATTATGTCTAGTGTTGGGTTTGTTTTAGTCAGTAATATTTTTTAATTTTACAGTCATCATCAACTGACACTATTACCTTTTGTTGTGTTTTTATCTTAAGAAAGTCACTAGAAGTATTGTGAAGGATGAGGGGTGGAATGATATTTAACCCTAATAATTTTTTTTGACAGTAAAAAACCTGAAACATATCTTTCTTACAAATTATTTCCACTTGTTCTTAGGATGATATAACATTTTATCCCATTGTAATATGATTAGCTTTTCTCTTGGAATACTTAAAATATATTAAAGGTTTATTTTCTTTGTCTTTCATTAAGACTCAAAACTTTAGTTTGTACTTAATGGTATAACTAATTCTAGCAGTAATAATATTGATCTTTTCATAGATTCTCTGCTTCTACCTAATATAATCACTTTTTAAAATTCTGTATTTAAGCTATCTTTAAAAATTGAAAATGTTCATTGAATATACTCTTCTTTTAGGTATAGCATTTGCTACTAAGATTATAAATAAAATGCTCATTTGCCAATTGGAATATGATATTACTATGTGACTTTATTTTGTTAGTAAATTATTTTAAGTACAGTTGAATTTTAGCATAATATTTCCCACAAAATTGGATTATTTCTATACTTGCTCAATCATATAAAATACTATCATAAATGTGTGTATACTAATACATTTACAGGTATTGCTAAAAACTTGTAATTATTTGAAAAATTTTTAAGTATCTTATCCTTTTTCCCTATACACTTCATGTTCAACCAACTGAGTAATTCTATAATATAAGACTAAGCAAAACATAAAAGAAACAAGTATATGCTCAGCATAAAACATTACTAAAAGTTTCTTGGGGGCTTTTTTTTTATAATAACAGTATAATAAGTAACATTATTTAAAATATAAATCTTGATTCTGTTCAGAAAATTTAGTCCAATTTTTGTAATGCAGTTCGTAGTCCTCAAATAGAAGAAATTAATTTTCTTCTATAAATTTTTCCATTTGTGTTCAATCATATTCGGCTTTGATTCCTTGAAAATTTTGTTCTTAAAAAAATATTTTAAGGGGCTGGAGCGATAGCACAGCAGGTAGGGGGTTTGCCTTGCACGCAGCCGACCCATGTTCTATTCCCAGCATCCCATTTGGTCCCCCAAGCACCGCCCGGAGTGATTCCTGAGTGCATGAGCCAGGAGTAACCCCTGTGCATCGCTGAGTGTAACCCAAAAAGAAAAAAAAAAATTATTTTTTAAGAGAAAATTTTTGTTCTTAAAAAATTTTTTTTCATGGGCCTCGAGCATTGATACAGCAGCTTGGGCAATTGCCTTTCAACCTGCCAACCCAGATTCTATTTCCAGCAGCCCATGCGTTCCTCTTGAGGCCACCAGGACTGATCTCTGAGCTCAGAGCCAGGAGTAAGTCCTGAGCATTTATGGGTGTCACACACCCCCCCCCCCCACGCCGCCCAAAAAAAGAAGTTTTTTCCCTAGAACATTGTATTGGACCAGAGCGAGAGAGTGCAGGGGCTGGGGTGCTTACCTTGAATGCAGCTGACCCTGGTTCAATCCCTGAGCACCACCAGGAGTAATCCCTGAGTACTGCCAGATGTGATCCAAGATCTTATGGACTCCTCAGGAAAGGAGAAACTGCAGTGGGTGGAGCACTAGTACAGCCATGAGAGTGTTTGCTTTGCACACTGCTGATCCAGGTTTGGTCTCCAGCATCCCATATCATCCCCATGCATGCCAGGAGTAGATGCTGAGTGCAGAGCGAGAAGTAACCCCTGAGCATGACCAGGTATAGCCAAAAAACTAAATTTCAAAAACACAAAGTAAAGAAAAGGAGAAGCTACAGAAGTACGTAAAGGCTGTGATGAGATTATGAAATTACCTTCCAGGCTGTTAGGTCTTCCCTCTGACAATATCCAGATTACTTTTATGTATGCTGAGAACTCTAAACCAAGACATTTGGAGGGATTGTATATAACTTCCTTCAAACGCTCTTTTAAGATCATGTTCTCTTTTTGAACATCTCTCTCTCTACCCCTTCTCTCCCTCCTTTGTCCTCCTCCCTCCCTCTCTTCTCTCTCTCTCTCTCTCTCTCTCTCTCTCTCTCTCTCTCTCTGCTCACATTTCTCTAAATTTTTTTCAATGAAAAACCATTCACTAAAAACAACAACAACAAGTTGGAGTACTGAGATATCTAAATCAACTGCTAGAAGTGAAGTAAAGGCAATAAATTGAGTCAGCGCTGTTTAGGTTAGAAAAGGTGCCATGAATCATACCCAAGGTCTCATACAGTCAAGGCATGTGCTCCACCACTGAGCCACACACCTGGCCAAGGTATTCTTCAGCACAGAATATGACAAAACTTCTACTGTGTTTTTTTCTTTTTGTGGGGGTTAAGTGCTAAATTACAATATATATTATCTGGTAATAAATTGTATCTGGAAATTCTTTTTTCTAAAATTTTAATAGAAGAATTTATGACCAGAATGGTAGATAAACTATATGTAACCTTTTGTTGTGATGCACTGCACTGTACTGTCCTCCCATTGTTCATCGATTTGCTCGAGCGGGCCCAGTAAGGTCTCCATTGTGAGACTTGTAGTTACTGTGTTTGGCATATTAAATACATCACGGGGAGCTTGACAGGATTTGCCGTGCAAGCAAGATACTCTCGGTAGCTTGCCGGGTTCTACGAGAGGGGTGGAGGAATCGAACCTGGCTCTGCCGGGCAGGCTGCGCATAAGGCAAATGCCCTACCGCTGTGCTATCGCTCCACCCCTTTGTTGTGATAGTATAGAATAATTTGAGATTAGATGTAAGGTTCAGCTTCTTTAAGGAGTACTACTTATTTTGAGTGATTTAAGTAAATTTTTTATATAAATTACTAAAACCAAATATTTTCAGTTAAATGTTATAATTATTACAGTAATATATCACATTTTTTTCTTACTGTATTTTATGAATTTGGAAAGGTAAAGGTAAGAGAACTATAGATTTTCATGTTTTAGCACTTAAAGTTTGGCTTAGTCTGTCAGTGTGTCATAATTATACTTGAGTATGTTTACCCTTTATACTATGCTTTCTTTAGTGGTGGGGAAAACATTTTTTGAAAATAAACTGTGAAGTTACCTTTATTGGACAAATAAAATATGTTAAACTTGATTGACTTTTTTTAAAGATAAACTGTTGCTTTTTGCAGTATTGGCATATAAAAAAGTTCTTCATATCATTGTGTATATCGACTATTCAATTGTTCTACTTGTAATCTAAAGAAAAGAATAGAATTACATTTATATAAAATGCATCTGAAGGTGCGTTCAATAAAAAATAAAACCTCAAAATTCTAGTTTGAGTCAAAGGAAGGTTTTTGGTTGTTTGTTCGTTTGTTTTTTTGGGGGGTCACACCCAGCAGTGCTCAGGATTTACTCCTAGCTCTGCACTTAGAGATCACTCCTGGCAGGGCTCGAATGCCTAATATTGAACCCAGGTCAGCCAATCGCAAGGCAAGGACCCTATTACTCCCACGCATATGTGACGTTCTAATCTGGGCATTATAATTCATTGTAAGAATAAACTCATTATTTTTCGGGTTCTTCCTTGATAACACTGAGGATTGCTATTACTTCATGAGTGCTTTTGAAAATATGCAAAATTCAATCAAAAATGATATGGCAATTAAATGTTTTTGGTAATTTTCCATCACTGTCACTGTCACTGTCCTCCCGTTGTTCTTCGATTTGCTCAAGCGGGCCCAGTAACGTCTTTATTGTGAGACTCCTTGTTACTTGTTTGGCACGTGAAATATGTCACGGGTAACTTGCCAGGCTTTGCCGTGCGGCGAGATACTCTCGGTAGCTTGCTGAGCTCTCCAAGAGGGGCAGAGGAATTGAACCTAGCTCTGCCAGGCCGGCTGCACACAAGACAAACGCCCTACCACTGTGCTAATTTTCCATATACATTTAAACTCATATTCAGGAGCCAGAATTTTAGTTACAGCGGGTAGCAGCATTTGCCTAGCACGTGCCTGACCCAGGTTAGATCCCCAGTACCCCGTATGGTCTGAGCAGGACCAGGAATAATCCTGAGCATCATTGAGTGTGACCGCACTGCTTAACCCCTCCTTCCCCCCCCCCCCAAAAAAAGTAAACTTCTCTTATTCTTTAAAAATTAAGTCTCACATTCACACATCCTTAATTTAAGAATTAAAACTAGTGGGGTTGGAGAGACAGTACAACAGGTAGGGCATTTGCCTGGCATGCAGCAGACCTAGGGGTTTTTTTGTTTTTTTTGTTTCTTTGTTTGTTTTTGCTTTATTGGGTCACACCAAGCGATGCTCAGGAGTTATATGGGATGCCGAGGATTTAACCCAGGTCGACCACGTGCCAGGCAAACACCCTACCCGCTATGCTATTGCTCCTGCCCCCAGACCTAGGTTTGATCCCAGTACCTCTCTGGTCCTCTGCTACATACCAGGAGTGACCCCCGAACACAGAGACAGCAGTTAGTCCTAAGCACTAATGAGTGTGGCCCCAAACATTTATAAAGTAAGTAAAGGCCCTCCCGTTGATCATAGATTTGCTCGAGCGGGCCCAGTAACGTCTCCATTGGAGACTTTGTTGTTACTGTGTCTGGCATATCGAATACGTCACGGGGAGCTTGCCAGGCTCTGCCGTGCGGGCGAGATACTCTCAGTAGCTTGCCGGGCTCTCCGAGAGGGGTGGAGGAATCGAACTCGGGTCGGCCATGTTGGCTGCGTGCAAGGCAAACGCCCTACGGTGGGAATTTCTCTCTACCTTAGCCAACACAGATACTGTGGCACAAAGAGAAAAGTCATTGTTTAGAAACAAGCAGTCATGATTCAGTAATGTTGGACATGGAACTACCACATGCATAAACTGTGACAACACCGTGTAGAACTTCAGGATGCTTTTGTCAGTTTATTGGGGGGGAGAGGAGGGGTGCAGAGGAGGATTGAGGCCACACCTGATGGTGGTCAGAAGGTATTTCTGGCTCCCTCAGGGATCCCTCCTGGTGGTGCTCCGGGGAGCCATGCAAAGTTCCAGGGATCAAACCAGGGTAAGTTGTGTGCAAGGCAAGTGCCGTACCCTACTTGTTGTGTTATCTCTCTGACCCCATGGGTGGATGTTTGTTTTGTTAGTGATGACATAGCATCATTGTTAACCCTGGACAACCCACTTCTGTAATTTGGAGAGCAATAAATTTTTTAATAGTTTTTATTTAAAAAGAAATTTACTTAAGTATAGCAGGAAAGAGCAAACTACATTTCTCTCTGAATGGACTGAGCATAAGCATTGCATAAGGCCTGCATTGGATCCCTTGCACCACATGACTCCTTGAGTGCTGCTGGAATGGCCTCTGAGTACCACAAGAGCTCAAAAAACAAAACAAAAAGCACTGTGTTTTGGAATTCTGTTAAAGCAAGCAAAACTAATGAAGAGACAGGCAAGCTTATGAATACACAAGGCTTAGATTTAGTAAGAAGAGGGGAGTGGATAAAAATCTCGGGTGAAATTGCTTGTTCTACGTAAGCCGTAGGAAGGCCAAAGAGATATGATAGGTCACTTGCCATGCATGCAGCCTACCCGGGTTCAATCCCTGTCCACATGTAGTCCCTCTTAGCCCTACTAGAGGGGATCCCAGAGCACAGGGCCAGGAGTAAGCTCTAAGCACTGCTAGGTATGACCCCCAAACAAAAACAGCTTTAGGAAGGAATTTTTGAACATTGATAAAAATTATCTGAGAAAAGTGCTGAACGTAGTAGGTTATTTGAACTTGGATAGTTCACATGCTGTCTTGTGTAAACTCACACAAAGTGGGGGCACGGCACCCCACAGCGGCGGTGGCTCTATCTCTCCCGCCACCCGCGTTCGGTAGTCTCACCCTTCTCCCACCCCGGAGAGGTCGATGGCGATGGTCAGGCAGAGGAAGGAACGAGGGCCAGGCTGGTAGGTATTAGTCGTAGTTTATTCTGATTCTCTCCTCATCTCTTCTTCTGTCTCTGCCCCCATGCTACTTCATTCTCCTTCTCCATCCCCCTTCATCCTCCTCTTCCTTCTGATCCTCTCTGAATTCTCTTCTTCCTTCTGCCCCCAGCCCACTCCTACAGTACAGTTAAATCCTCTCTCCATGAGGAATTGGGGGAACAATTACACATAGGTGTGGTCACAATCAATAGGGGTAGAAATCAATAGGGGTAGAAATCTTAGCCTCAGGGAAGACCGCTCCTAGGACAGATCCTTCCTCAGCAGGAGGACCCACCCTAGAGCAGAATCCCATGGGCGTGCCTCTCCTCTCCTTGTCTGACAAGCATATAAAAATATAAATCATTTTGTATGGATACAGTAAGAAATATCTTAAACTTATAGAATTGCTCTCCTAGGGCCATCTCGATCTCAGACTACGGTGCTCAGGCCAGATAGTCTTTCCCACCCCTAGCAGGATCCTAGTCTTGTCGTTACCTTTGGATCATGACAGCATTTGTCTATGATCAAACTCTTAATTTATAGTTAAGAATCGTGGCACTTTGGCCTGGCCCATTTCGCTGCCAGGGTAGCTCACTGCTTGCCCTGGGTCCATTCAGTCCCTCGTCAGGACTCTGCTTTTGGGGTGTTAGGAACTAAGGGCAACTGAGGCTTAAGTCAAGAAAGCAGATGCCCAGGAGTGAATAATATTCAAGGCCAATCAAATCCTAAGTTACAAAGCATAATGTTAACGGTCTTCCTGTATCTATACAAAAAGGATATTACTTTAAGGTAAACTATTCATAAGGCATTTCATTTCATTTCATTTCATCATCCTGTTAATCGTCGATTGCCTCGAGCAGGCCCCAGTAACGTCTCTTTCATCCTAGCCCTGAGATTATATTTACGGCTCTTTAGGAGAATGAGACCCATCATTGTTACTGGTATTTGGCATATTTGGTAGGCCACGGGGAGTTTGCCAGACTCTGCCCTGTGGGCAGGCTACATTCGTTAGCCTGCAAGTTTGTCCAAAGTAGGAATGAGATAATAAGATGTCATAAAGAAAAGTTTTGATAAGATGTCGCGCGGCCGCGAATGCGGCCGCGCGGTTCCGGGATCTGGATTTTATAGTCTCTGAGTCTTGGCCGCTGATGGGATTACACGGCGCCAGGGGGCCAGGTGGTGGGTGTGACCCCCGCCTACTGGAATTTGGAGGATCTGGGTGGAAGATGCTCGACTCCAATTCGAGTAGGCTTGGAGGTCTCGGCCCCGGAACCCGCGTGGCTTTGTCCCTCTGCCAGTACCTTCAGGTGTGCGGAGAGTGGTCTCAGCATGGTGGTGTCTGGTCCTGGAGGTCTCCGGCTGCCGTAGCCCTGGCCGGGGCGGGGAGGAAAGCTCAACCCGCTCCCCTCCAAGGGACTCCGGGAAGGAACAGCCAGGCATAAGGAGAGGAAAAAGGCAATATTTCACTCATACATATAAAATCATAGATTTCTGGGAAACTGATCTTACAAATTAACAAAGTCTGATTAAGGGGAAAGCTGATTAACTGGGTGGGAAGGAGAGCATAGGGAAGACTGTTTACATGTTTACATGTAAACACAATGGAAGTGGAAGTGCCTCTGGAGCACTGTGGTGGGTGTAACCAGATTGATGGGTGTAACCAGATTAATGGGTGTAACCAGATAAAACCTAAGCTTCTTGAAGGACAGAGCAATGTTACCCAACACTGTCTGTCTAACCTTAAAATGAAAAATTACAGAAATTGATCTTAAGAATCTTTTCTAGCTATATCATTCTATAAATGTATCTTGTCCAAGAAGAGCCTGGAGAAAGTGCTGAGAGAAAGCTTCAGGTGTTATCTAAGATGGTAACTGGTAGCACAGATGCCCAGGAGTCTGGGATCACAGCAGGTGCAGATGTTGTGCATAGGGATCAGTAGCAGAGTACCAGTCTCTTCCATCTCTGCTTACAAAGGAATTACTTTTTCGTTTAGAAATTTTATGGCTGTTTAGATCGCATGGTTGTCTAACCTGGTTAGTGCGGCTAGTATTCACTTATCACTTAATCACTTAACTACCCGTTGTCGATTTGCTCGAGCGGGCACCAGTAATGTCTCCATTTGTCCCTGTCGCGTGCTAGTGTAGTCCAATGGCATCTGTTCGCTCTGGGAACATGAAGAGCCTCAAACCGATCGTTCATGATCTTCATGAAGAAGTCTGACCATCTGGTAGGTGGGCGGCCACGCGGTCTTTTGACATCCTGTGGAATCCAGTCAGTAACAGCTCTAGTCCAGCGTTCGTCTTTAAATCTCATTACATGACCAGCCCATCTGATTTTTGACACCTTGGCAAATGAGACAGCGTCCCTGATTCTTGATCGTAGACGGAGGTCGGAGGTCAGAACTCCGGATTTTTTCTCTCATTTGAGTGAAACGTGATATTCCAAGCATAGCTCTTTCTATTCTTCTTTGGGAGACCTGAATAGCGTTCTCATCCTGTTTGTGTAGGGCCCAGGTCTCTGAGGCATATGTTAATGCAAGAAAAACAATGGAATCAAAGAGATGTGCCCGGAGCTGGAGGTTCTTAGTCCTCTTAGCCCCTAGTGTGGCTAGTATTACCATTTATAATTTTGATATATAAAAAGTTACTTTCACCTTCACCACCACCACCGAAGTGCCCCACACCAATGTCTTTATGTCACCTAGTGCACCTCTTCTTCCCTTCCCCTACTACTTGGTTTGTAATCCAAGGCTAAGCGTTTATCATCACTTGATACTATTACTTTTTCTTCATATACCACAAATAAATGAGACTTCAATATTTGTTCTCTTTCTCTGAATTATTTGCTTAACATGATACCCACCAGTTCTATGCTAGTTGCAATAAAATGGATCCTCCCGCCCTCCCTTCCTTCCTCTGCAAGGAACCATGAACTGCTGGAGATTGAAGCCAGGTTAGCCACATGCAAGACAAGAACTTTATCCCCTATACTATCTCTGGTCCACTTGCATGGTGTACATAACACACAACTTTGAGGGGCATACCCAGTGGTCCTCAGGAATCACTTTGGGAGGACTCCATGTTGGGGGGACTTGGTGACCTTGTGGTACCTGGGATCAAACTAGATTGGCTGCCTGAGATTGGCAATTTCAAAAACAAGACTGGGCTTCCTAAATATTCTTATGCAGAGTGAGCAATTTAACCCACTTTACTATTTCTTTAGCCCCAACCCACAACTTCTTATCCATTTATCTCTCACTGAATATTTGGGTTGTTTCCATATTCCAGCTATTATATTCAGCACTGCTATAAACATAGGTGTCCATTTATCTTTTCAAATTGTTTTTTTTTAAATGTTAGGAGTAGATGCCAAGAATTGGGACATATGGAAGGAAACTTTTATTTTAGAAATCCCACAGTTTTCCATAGAGGTTGAACTGGAGGCATTCCCACCAAAACAATGAGCAGAGGTTCCTTTTTCACTGCATTTCTGCCCCCCCCCCAACACTTTCTGACAGATGCCATTTTCACTGGTTTGAGATGATAGCACTTTGCAAGTTAATTCTAAACTGATCTTACTTCTTTTTGTTCACCCTTGTTTTTTGTGGTAACCAACACACATTCTGACCTTTTCTGTATCACTTCCCTTAATGATGTAGGCTTAATAATCTGCCTCCAAGGGAAGGTAGATAACCCTTCACTCCATTATCTTCAGGAAGAGTCTCTAGCCTTCCAGTCTGCAATGTTTTCCCTAACAAGACCATCATTTGTTACTGTATCACACATTCAGTGAGTAACTTTCTCTTTTCCTTTGGTCAAGAATTCGGCTCCTACTTTCACATATCTGAGACAACACCACTAAACCATTTTTCAAGAGATGATTCTTGATTTTAAAAAAAAAATTTCCTCGGTACTCGGTATCCCTCAGCCATAGAGGTTTCCTGTTCTGCCTAATACAAATAGACGTGTAAGTGACTTGCGCCAGCGACCATTTCATCTATTCTTCGTACATTCTTCTATCTCCACTGTGCTCCCCCTTCTGAACTCACAGTTGGTCACCAAAGATCAGGCTCAGAGGATCTAGTTGCTAAGAAACAAGACGCTTTGAGGGTGCGGACGCTGCACTGCGACAAGCCTGGAAGTGTATGCAAAAAGAAGGGGGAGGCAAAGGCGAGGGTAGCGGGCGGCTGGCTGCAGCTGCCGGTAGGGAACCCCTCCCGCCGGTAGGGCTTGCAGCTCATTGGCTCCGCCGCTGCGGTGCTGGCTCGCGATTGGCCCGTAGCGCTGCCCCGCCCCCTGCGCCGCGGCCCAGTGGGCGGAGGCGGTGCCAGGGCGCGGTGCGGGGTGTGCGGGCCGGGCTGCCCGAGCTGGATGGCACGAGCGTGGGCGGTGCCGACCGCTGCGGGTGACCAAGGCGCTGCCGAGGCCTCCGCGGCCCTGTGGAGGTGAGCGAGACCCGGAGGGGACGCGGGTGCCCGCGGGGGCGAGGGGCGGTGCCACTAGCCGCAGCGCGTTCTCGCTCGGGCCCCCTGACCCGGGAAGGGTGGGCCCGGGGTCCTGCTCGCCCAGACGGCCCTCAGCCTAGTCCATGTGGCCCCAAGTCCCACTGCCTGATCCCCTGCGCCCCGGCGGAGGAAGCCCAGTTCTGCCCACGGGTCGCGTCCCCGGTGCAACGCGCTTCTCCCCGGGCTCCGTCCCACTGTCAGGCGTCTTTGTCCGTCCCCGACCCGCTCAGCCCCCGAGGAGTGTCTGCCCCTTCGCGGGGCGCGGGCTGGGGAACTCGGGGGAGAAGGTCTGGGATGCCGCGGACGTGCTGCGCCTGGAGCCATTCTTCCTGGATCTCGGGTAGGATTTTTCTTTCTTTATCTATGGCAGCCGCCTTGGTCCTCAAGTAGGGTCCGAGTATTCTGCCCCCAACCACGCTGGATGTCTTCGTTTTATCATCCCTCCTCTTTCTGCCAGAGGCGTCTACATCCCCGCCCGCCCCACCGCCCCACTGTCTACCCGTTTTGTCATTGTCGAGAGGGAATCGTCAGTGGACAAGATCCCCTTTCATTTGAAAAAAGAAAAAAAATCATCAGATGCTGGGCGTGGACCTCTGGTCTTAATAGGTGTGTCTTTCTACATTTAAATGATCCAAAATTGTGGGAACGGGGGAGAGGGCCGAGTTGTGTTCTCCAAAGGTGTAGTGTATGAAAAGAAATTTTAAAACACAAAGTATTTTATGATATCCAAGTCACCACCTTACTTATTAAACTTGGGAAAAGCAGAAAAGAGCAAAGAGAATTTTTTATTTCTGCTAACGTATTTTCCTCTCCTCATCTTTGTTTTTGAGGTGGAAGTAGTTGCACACTTGGTTGTGGTGTTCTCCAGTGGTCACACACCTTTTAGTGGCTGTGCTCACACACACTTGGTAATAATGTAGCAAAGATCATGCATTTGTGATCACCGCTCATTCCTGGGGCAGTGCCAGGCATCAAACTTGAGGCCTTTCACCTGCAGGGTAGATGATCTACCACAAAGCCCACATGAGCCACATTTGTGGGCTTTGCTCTCTCCATTTTCCTGTCATATTTATCTTTAAGTCTTAAATCTGAGGAGATCTGGAATGGTAATGTTACAGGCTTGAGCTATGTAGTCCTCGCTGTGTGCTAGACAACCCCAAAAGGCCCACTGCCCAGATGGTGCCTTACATAGTACCAGGACACAGTGTCAGGTACTCCACATGTACGACTTTACAGACTAGTTACAGACATTATTCTTGTTTTACAGACAAGAAGAAAATTGAGACTGAGGAGCTGGAGTGACAGCACAGAGGGTAGGGTGTTTGCCTTGCATGCAGCCAACCCAGGTTCGATTCCTAGCATCCCATATGGTGCCCTGAGCACCGCCAAGAATAATTCCTGAGTACAGAGCCAGGAGTAATCCCTGTGCATCGCCAGATGTGACCCAAAAAGCCAAAATAAAATTAAAAAGAAAATTGAGACAGCAATAATCAGAATTAGACTATTCATAGATGAAAATTTGGACTGTCAACTACAGAGTCTACCCTGGGACCTCTTACCTGATTCTAGCCATGGCACTGCTCTGGTAATTTGGAAGTTGTGGTTTTTAGAGATGCTTGGTTTTTCTTTTGTTTTTTGTTCAAGGTGTGTGGTTTCCATCACACCCAACAGTTTTGAGGGTCTACCACCCTGTCTGTGCTTCAGTGTTTACTTCCAGTTGTGCTCGGGGATTATGTGATATTGGGGACTGAACTGGATCTGCCTCATGCAAGGCAAGCTCCTTAGCCGCTGTACTTTATCTCTGTTTTGTGGGGGACGTTAACTGGGAGCCACATTCAGCAGTGCTCAGGGTTTCCTTCTGGCTCTGTGTTCAGGGATCACTCTTGGCAATGCTTGGGGTATTAAGATGTATATGGTGCTAGAGATTGAACCAGGGTTGGTTGCTGCAAGGTGTTTTAACTCCTTGCAGTACTTTACCTCCTCCACTATTGCAATGACCCCTCTTTTCTCTATTTTAATGTTCATGTAGAAGCAAATAGGATAACTTTATACTGTCCACCCCCTGCTGTGTCTTATGTAAACAATTATATTAGTCTCAAAGTTTCCTCATTCCAGTATTTAAATATCTCATAGTACTCCTCAACATAGACTTGGGAAGTAGGCACTATTACTTTATGCTTCATAATATTTGTTAAAGCAGTCTGTAAAATTTCTATCACTTAATTTTTTTGCTGAAGTTTGGATGACTTTCCTTGGCTAGCATTGTGGAGTTAAAATTCAAACTAGGGCTCCAGACTCCTGAGTCTGAAGAGTGCTTTTTTCTTTCCTCTTTTTTCTTTTTTCTTTTTTTGCAGTGCCAGATACTACTTTTTCAACTGTACTGTCATTGTCCCTTTGTTTTGTTTTTATAAAATAGATATTTCTAGGGCTGGAGTGATAGCACAGTGGGTAGGGCGTTTGCCTTGCACGTGGCCAACCCGGTCGACCCGAGTTCGATTCCTCCGCCCCTCTCGGAGAGCCCGGCAAGCTACCAAGAGTATTTCTCCCGCATGGCAGAGCCTGGCAAGCTCCCCGTGGCATATTCCATATGCCAAACACAGTAACAACAAGTCTCACAATGGAGACATTACTGGGCCTGCTCGAGCAAATTGATGAACAACAGGAGGACTGTGCTGTGCTACAGATATTTTCCCATAGGAACAACTTATATTTGGAGATTATATTCATAACTCCGCAGTCTCCTGCCCCCGCGCCTGGCTGCCCTTGCCGGGTCCCCTTGGAGGGGAGCTGGTTGAGCTTTCCTCCCCGCCCCGACCAGGGCTCCAGCAGCCAAAGACCTCTAGGACCAGCCACCACCATGCTGAAACCACTCTCCACAAACATGAAGGTACTGGCAGAGGGACAAAGTCACGCAGGTTCCGGGGCCAAGATCTCCAAGCCTACTCGGATTGGGGCCGGGCATCCTCCACCCAGATCCTCCAAATTCCAGTAGGCAGGGGTCACACCCACCAACTGGCCCCCTGACGCCGTGTAATCCCATCAACGACCAAGACCCAGAGACTATAAAAACCAGCTCCTGGAAGAGAATAGTGCAGTCTCCTGCCCCCGTGCCTGGCTGTCCTCGCCGGGGCCCCTTGGAGGGGAGCGGGTTGAGCTTTCCTCCCCGCCCCGACCAGGGCTCCAGCAGCCAAAGACCTCCAGGACCACGGCCGCGCAACATCTTATTATGACATCTTATTATCTCATTCCTACTTTGGACAAACTGGCAGGCTACTGAATGTAGCCTGCCCACACGGCAGAGTCTAGCAAACTCCCTGTGGCGTACCCAATATGCCAAATACCAGTCACAATGATGGGTCTCATTCTCCTAAAGAGCCTTGAATATAATCTCAGGGCTAGGATGAAGGAGACGTTACTGGGGCCTGCTCAAGGCAATCGACGAATAACAGGATGGTCGTGATTCGTGATTCGTGATATTCATAACCCAGAATTTTTATATCTAATAAATCTGTCTGGGACTGTCTGGGAATCCTTGTCATTATTTTAAAATTTGGGGGCTGGAGTGATGGTACAGCAGGTAGGGTGGCTTGCCTTGCACACAGCCAACCCATTTTGATCCTTGACATCCCATATGTTCTCCAGTAGTGATTCATGAGCACAGAGCGAGGACTAACCCCCCACCCCAGCACCACAGGGTGTGGCTAAAAATCCAAAAATAAGTCAATAAACAAATTAGGAGCAATAGTAAAGCAGTTAGGTGCTTACCTCCATGTGGCCAACCCAGGTTTGATCTCCAGCTTCATAAATGTTCTCCTGAGCCCTCCAAAAGTGATCCTTCAGCTCAGAGACAGGAGTTAGCCCTGAGCACCAACAAGAATGACCCAAAAACAAAAACAAAAGAAACTTTTTTTGGTGAGAACATCCCCTTAGTGCTCTGAAGTTGCTCCTGGCAGTATTCAGAGGACCAGGCAGTGCCAGGGCTTAAACTTGGGTCTTCTTCATGCAAAGCATTTACTCCAGCCCTTTAGTCTATCTCTTCTCCTCCATTATTTTTAGCTGTAAATTTATGTCCCAACTTCAGATACAGTGCCTTGCATTTAGTAAGTGAATAAAATAAATATTTAGGACTTTTTGTTTGATAATATTTATGGGATACTCCTGGCTGTGCACTTTGCACTCAGGAATCATGCCTGGCAGTGCTTTGGGGACCTTACGGGATACTGGGAATTGAACCCAGGTTGGCCAAATACAAGGAAAATGCCCTACCTGCTGTACTATTGCTCTAGCCCCCAATTAAGAAATATTTCAGTTACATCAATAAAAAATACTTTACATTCTTGTATTGTTGGATTAGCTTTATTGAGGTAGAGTGGACATCAGTTCTTAAATTTCTTTGTTCACTGACTTATAACTAACATAAGATATGATCTGTGCCAGAGAGTTAGTTCAGCAGACTGAGTGCATGCTTTGCATGCAGGAGGCCTGTTTTCAATTCTGGCACTGCATGTGGTCCCCTGAGCATCAATACTGAATGTGACCCCCAAACAAGTGAAAGATATAATCTTCCACTGTTTATAGCTAATAATCACATGGCACAGCAACAGTGATTATGGTTAGTCTAGAAGATAGATTAGCTTGATTTTGTTTCATTTGACTGCATCTAAAATTAAGTGTGCTCTACCTCCTGCTGGTGCCAGATAATCGCATCATCAGCCACCATCCAGATCACAAGGCTACTTCTCCTGGAAGGGAGCATAACATGAGGCCCCCATAGCCATGCCACCGGACTCTGCACCAGGCTGTTTCACCCGGGGTACCCCAGAAGGGGTCGGGTGAGAGCCCTCCCCACCCCAAGGGACCCAGCCCCAGCAGGCAAAATCCTCCAGACCCAACTGCTGCCACATTCAAGGCCATTTCCCACATGTTGTGGCAGAGCCTCACACATGAGTGAGCATATTCTTGGACCACGCAGCCACAAATGCGGCCACACGACACATCATAAGACACTCCTTACCCATTCTCCCTAAGTACTACACCACATTTTTTTATGTAGGAGTACTGCTATTTATTCAGCCACTGATTAGCTTATTGAATTGTGCATGAACTCCACTTTACTTTTTTTTTCATTTTTTATAATTTTATTTATTGAATCACCATGAGAGCATTTACAAAGCTTTTGTCTCAGTCATACAATGAAACACCCGTACCTTCACCAGTGCCCACTTCTCCACCCTCAACAACCCCAGTATACCCCCATCCCACACCCTCCCCTTACCTTTGGGGCAAATGGTTTCCACATTAATTTCTCTCTACTTTGATCACATTCAATATTTTGACACCAGATCCACCATTATTATTTGAGATTTTACCCCAACACTCAGATCTGCTGAAAAGGCAACAGTAGAAAAATTGTTTCCCATTGCTGATTATGAATAACATGATCGCGTGGCTGCAGTAGTGGCCACGCAATTTTGAAATTCCAAAATTTTAACACTTAAATCTGGAGGGATTTCTGTTAGAACCTGCTGGGTTCTGAGATTTGCTCCGGAGTCTCTGGGATCATGGCCATTAAGCAGCTTGATCAGGAGCCAGAGAGGCCGTTCATGGGCGATGACTTGGGGTCTTGTCGGGGTGGGGAGGACAGGACCGGCTCTACCCCCATCCTGTGAGGCCCAAAATGCCTCATCACTGTGGGCCCAAACCTGACTGTCCAATGGACTCTGAAAGATGACGGCCACCAAGCCACCAGGGGAAGCAGGCAGAGAGACAGCACCATTTCCCCCCTGGGGTGGCCCAGCAACAGTAACCTACTGCGTGGTCCGGACATATTTCTGCCAAAAGCCGCTGGGTTTCGAGATTTGTTTCTGAGTCGCTGGGATCATGGCCATTAAGCAGCTTGATCAGGAGCCAGAAAGGCCGTTCATATGCGATGATTTGGGGTCTCGTTGGGGTTGGGAGGAAGGGACCGGCTCCACCCCCACCTCGTGAGTCCCAAAATGTCTCATCACTGCAGGCCCAAACGTGACTGTCCAGTGGCCTCTGGAGGGTGGCGACCACCGAGCTGCCAGGGGGAACAGGACAAGGCACGAAACCTATTCCCACCTGGGTTGGCCCAGCACCGGTAACCTACTGCAGGGACCGGACACATTTCTGCCAAAAGCTGCTGGGTTTCAAGATTTGTTTTTGAGTCTCTGGGATCATGGCCATTAAGCAGTTCCATCAGGAACCAGAGAGGTCATGCCTCCAATTATATAGCTGAGCCAGAGGTGGTTTGTGGGTGTGTTTCCCACATACCTAACTTTTGGCCATTTACTTCCCTGGTAAACTTTGTGCCAAGTTTTTGGGGTCTGGCCAAAGGCACAGCAGCAATTTGGGGGTATCTGGAAGTCTGAAGGCTCCATCGGGCTGCTGATGCACTCGCCTCACAGGTACAGATTGACCTGCTGGCGGCACCATACCCCCGACTACACCACATTTGATGGGGTTCATATAGTAGGCAACAAATCATAGAGGGAAATATATGTATGTATATATAAATATTTTCATATATATATATGAAAGCTCACATAACTCAACCTTTAATAACATGTTAGTGACATCCTAAAGAATGTCTTAATGGCCCCTGCCAAAATAGAACAATTTTCACAGTTCTCTTATGAATACTTTTTTGTAAGCATTTTCAGCGGTTTTTCATAACAGACAATACAAAATATATTATTTTGGCTATGCTTTAGGCTAGGATTTGGGGCTTGGAATGGAAACATCGCAAATTTGGTGGTGGGAAGCTGTAGTGGTGGTGGAATTTGTGTTTGAATATTAAATGTAATCAAATATTGTGAACTATCTTATAAAATAAAAAATAATAAAATAAATAAAATTAAGTGTTCTAAAAAAATACTGTTTTGTCTTAGAGGAACTTTTTTTTCTTCAAAAGAGTGTTAAGTTTTTTTAATCCAGCCTTTAGTTTTTCTGTTTTTTGGTTTGGGGGCCACATTTGGTCCCCTGAACACTGGCAGGAATGATTTCTGGGCACAACATCAAAAGAATATTATGAATATTATAATTAATCTTTTCCCTATCACATTGATTTTACTGTTAATATTTTGTTGTGCTTTTATTTTACTTTTTGGCTTAGGGGCATTTGGAGGATTGAATCTGGGTTAGCTGTATGTAAGGCAAATACCCTATCAGCTGTACTATTGCTCTGGTCCTCTGTTATGATTTTTCTAAATAACATGTATCCATTTATTTGTTTTTCTGTCTATTCATGCACCAGTACATATACTCACTTGCTATTATATTTGAAGAAATATAAGCTGTACATTCTGTATTTATTTTAGGTCAAGTATAACTGATTTATTAACATTCTCAAAACATTTGAACATAAGATATAAGTAATTTTTTCTCTCTGTCTCTAGTTCCAAAAGATGAGTCATGGATATTCAGAAAACAACAATTTCCTGAACAATAACAACCAAATGGTGTTAGACATGATTCTTTATCCATTAATCGGAATCCATCAGACCATCAACTGGGAAACTGTGGCAAGACTTGTGCCGGGATTAACACCCAAAGAGGTAAATAACAGTCTCCAGATACCTCTTGAAAAGAAAATCTGAAAAAAAAAAAGAAAAGAAAATCTGAAAAAGTAACAAATTTTAAGGAACAATGAAGACAGATTTTAGTTACTCAGATCATATACATGCTGAGAATACATAATGAATAATTTCACTAAATGAAAACTATATAAATTATATAGTATATAAATCTACCTGAAATATTTAAATTCAACCATGTCTTAATGCTTATAACTGAAAATTCTCTAATGATATCTTTATACAAGCAGTAAAGGTGTTTCTATAAAATTATAGTTTTTGTTAATCAGATAATGTATTATTAAATCTATAAAGTTATGATTCTCTAATATATAAAGTTTCATAAAGGAAAAAAGTTGAAAATTTGTGTTGACTTTGGTTTCTGGGGGTGCTTGTTAGTTTTGGGGTGCCACTCCTGGGTGAGGTTCAGGGCTTACTCCTGGCTCTGCTTTCAGGAATCACTCATGGAGAGGGCTCAGGGAACAATATGGGGTGCCAGGGAACAAACCTGAGTTTGCTGCCTGCAAGGCAAGCACCATACCCACTGTACTGTGTCTCTGACCCTCCAGCTTCAGTTATTTAATATATAAGTCAAGTATATACCAACATTATAATATCTATGCTACTGGGCCAAAGAGATCATAGAGCAGGTAAGGCATTTGCATTGCATGCGCCCAGGTTCGATCCCAGGCACCCCATATGAGCCCCAGGACTCCATCAGGAGTGATCCCTGAGCACAGCCAGGTGTGGCCCAAAAGTCCCCCACAAAAAATACATATACTACTATGAACCAATGGCCGACCCAAGTTCGATTCCTCCACCCCTCTCGGAGAGCCCGGCAAGCTACCGAGAGTATTTTGCCCGCACGGCAGAGCCTGGCAAGCTACCCGTGGCTTATTCGATATGCCAAACACAGTAACAACAAGTCTCATGATGGAGATGATACTGGGTCCACTCGAGCAAATCGATGAACAACGGGAGGACCGTGACTATGAACCAAATTTATATGTCATAGATACAAACCAAAAAACACTCAAAGTAGTACTGTTTATTTAGTGTCATAGGTGTTTGATTAAAGTTAAATCACAGTTATAACACACATGTACAGTAATAGCATAGAATTTTTTTGGTTTTTGTTCAGCCTATACTGCCATGTGCCCTTCAAAGTCTTCATGTCTTCATTCTCTCTTAACTTTTCTTTCTTTTGTCTGTTATAGAGTCTTGGCATATACCACGACATTACTCGTCTTCCCTTGATATGAATACATACCTCCTCTACCAAGTCCCTTCCTTACCTTTGTCCTTTCTTGTTGTGTGTGTGTTTTGTTTTTTGGTTTTTGTTTTTGGGCCACACCTCCATGCTGTGTGCTGTCATGCACTGAACTAAGGGCCTCATGCCTGCCAGACACATAATCTACCATTTGAGCTATATCCCAGAAGCCTTTGAAATTTATTTGTATTATCATTTATGATTATTCTTATCATTATTATTATTGTCTGACCTTTGAGTCACTCCCAGCAGTTCTCAGAGCTTACTCCTGGTTCTATGCTCAAATATTCTCCAGGCAGTGCTTGGAAGGACTTTGTGTGGTGCTGGGGATCCAACCTGGGTTGACCTCATGCAAGGACAGTATCTTTCCCACTGTATGGGCTCTCCAGTCCTGAAAAATTAACTTTTAAATAAATTAGAACTAAATGTGAATCAGATATTTTTGTTGTCATTGTGGGGCTACACCTGTTTGTGTTCAGGGCTTACTTTTGTCTCTGCCCTGAGGGATCACTCTTGGTGGGCACAGGGTCCATATGGGGTGCCAGGGATTGAACCTGGCCCAGCTGAATGCAGCACAAGTGCCCTACCCACTATTATTATCTCCAGCCATTATCATAGTATTTTTAAGTAGTGTCAATTTTTAAATAACTATCATTAGGTAAAACATCTGTAAAGAACATATACTTAACAAAGGAAGTCTGACTTTACAGTAATCTCTTAATACCTATAATATATCAGATCTATTTCTGGATTTACTATTTCAGTCCGTTGATATCATCAATTTAATCCTGTTGACAGTTCCATATTGAATTACTTTCAATACTGTTTTAATATCAGTTGAAAGGAAAATAACCCCACTTAAGAAAAAGTGTTCTGAATAGTCTGAGAAACACAGTTACAAAGTTGTTTTTGATTTTCAGTCTTACGGTATTCTAACACTTATCCCTTTACCAGTGCACATTTCCCACCACTAATGTCCCCAGTTTCCCTCCGGCCACCTCCACCACCTACATCACCTCATCCCTCCAGCCTGCCTCTGTGGAAGCACCTCTCTCTCTCTCTCTCTCTCTCTCTCTCTCTCTCTCTCTCTCTCTCTCTCTCTCTCTCTCTCTCCCCTTGCTCTTGCTCTCGCTCTCTCTGTCACACACACACAACTTTCCTTTCCTTTTTTCCTTTTAGGTACTGTGGTTTGCAGTCCTGTTACTGTAGGGGTATCATGTATATCACTTTGCCTCCTTTCAGCACTCAGTTCTTGTCCAAGATGATCATTTCTAACTATCATTGTCATAGTGGCCCCTTCTCTATCCTAACTGCACTCCCCCTCTTTGTGGCAAGCTTCATGGACCAGTCCAAGGGAAATATTTTACATTGTGACCTAATAAACATATAAATATGACATTTTCATTAAGGTACACTTACCTTGCTATGATAAATGTACTATTTATTTATTTATTTATTTTGGAGCTGGGCACACCTGGTGATGCTCAGGGCTTACTCTTGGCTATGTGCTCAGGGATCATTCCTAATGGTGCGCAGGGACTATATAAGATACGAGGGATCCAACCCATGTCAATTGTGTTCAAGGCAAAGTCCTACCCAGTGTACTGTCTTCCAGCCCTGATGAATACACTCTTGACAACCTCTAATCTGTGTTAAAGGGGAATATTCTTCTAGAAACAAACTATATCCTGATGTATGTAACTATGAAGAATTACTAAATATTTTTATAAGGAAAATCTCAATCTTAGAACAACCTTTATTATGTCATTAAAGAAAATTTAATGTCACTAATGAAATATTTTTGAGAATGTCACTAATGAAATATTTTTGAGAGTTTTGGGACCACACCAGTGGTGCCCAGTGGTTCTTTTGGCACTATCCTTAGGAGTTGCTCCTGGCAGAGTGTGGGGAACCATGTGGTACCAAAGATCAAACCCAGACCTCCCACATGCAAGCATGTGCTTGCTTAGCCCTTTAAGCTGTCTTCCCAGCCCCTTAATCAGATACTTCTGAATTTGCTTTCCATTCACATTTAGAATTTGCACTTGAAACTCAGTTAATACAAAGAACTAAGTTCTTAAGTAAATTATTAAAATTACCCACTGATAATAGATACAAACCGCAGAGAAATATAAAGGCATTTTTCTTTCTTTCTATTACAAATTTTTTAAATTTTTAATTGAATCACTGTGAATGATTCAATTCAAAATCACAACACAGTTACAAAATTGTTCATATTTGAGTTTCAGTCGTACAGTGTTCTAACACCCATCCCTTGAGCTATACACAATTTAATTAATTTGTAATTTTAAAGGCATGTGTATATTATGCCTTTAGATTAAAAAAAACTTCTACCCTTCAGATAGAGAAGTACATAAGTTAAGGTACTTGCTTTGCATGTGGTTGACTAGTTTAAACTCCCAGCACCACGTATAGTTTCCCCAAACCTCACCAGGAGTGATCCCTGAGCACAGAGCTAGGAGTAAGTCCTGAGCACTGCCAGGTATATCCCAAACCTCTACTCACTAAAAAAATCTACCCTGAATTTAAAAATATAATAATTCAATAGAAATTATTGTTTAGAGGCCAGAACAATAGTCCAGTGGGTCAGGTGATTGCCTTGCATGCCGCCAATCTAGATTTGGTCCCCAGCACCCCATATGGTTTCTCAGGTCTCACCAGGAGTGATCCCTGAGTGCAGATCCAGAAGTAAGGCCTGCACACAACCAGGGCTCTGGTTGTGAGTCCTGAAAAAAAAATGCTTATTGGAGCTAGAGAAATAGAACAGCAGGTAAGGCACTATTTGATCCCCAGCTCCACATACCATCCCCCATGCACCTCTAGGAGCAATTCCTGAGCACCAAGACAGGAATAAGCCCCAAGCACCACCAGGTGTGGCCTCCCCCTCAAAATTTTCTTTTTTATTGATATGTGCTCTTATTATCTAGATTTTACCCAGTGATTCTGGGAAAGTGTCTTAAAATAGAAGGCAAGAAAATACACTCTCTTTTTTTAGAGAGAAAGAGAAGAAAAGTGCCGGCCATAGAGGCAGGCTGGTGGAGGTGGTGATGGGAGGGAAACAGGGGACAGTGACTCCAGGAAATGTACGCTGGTGGAAGGATGGGTGTCGGAACACTGTGTAACTGAAACCTAATCGCGAACAGTTTTGCAAGGGCCTACCTCGAACAGTGATTCAGTAACAGAATCTTAAACAAATACATCCTCATTTTTTTATATAAGATCTCCCCATCTGTTATTTCTTCTCTTCTGTATCATGACAGTGTGCAAAAAGGTTTGAGGAACTGAAGCTCAGGGGGTGCTCCCCGGTGGACAACCACTACAACCCCTTAATGGCTACTGGAGAGAATCCTGTGGAAACTTTAGCCCTGTATATCAAATCCTCGATGCTTGATACACAGGGAGAGTTTCAGGAGTCCCCTGTTGGTGAGGATGCAGTTTCTAAAACAGGTAAACTTGTTCAGAGGGTAATTATGCAAAAAATTTTGCAATTCAGTAAACTTCTTTATTTAAAAGCTAATGTAAACATTGATTGAAAAACCCGTTCTATCTTCTTGAGTTTAAAAATTTATCTTTGCTATATTGAAAAAATGTTTACAGTTCAAACAGTATTGTCAAAAAAATCTGTTAATATAGCTTAGAAAATACAGGGTAGATAAGGTGCTTGCCTCATATTTAGCCAGCTCTGATTTAGTCCTAGCAGTGCAAAAATGGTCTCGTGAGCACTGCTGGGTATAGCCCAAAACCCCCAGAAATGTTTTTGTTTGCTTCAGAAAAAAAACCATATCGTTGGTTTGAACATTTGCCTCCTCTCATATATACTATATCATCATTTTTAAAATCTTGAGTATAACAGAAGAAATTTGTGATCCTCTTTTACTGCTGTTCCCTTAGAGTACTCTTAGAAATATTAAGAGAAATTACCATCTCTTAATTATCTGACAAAAGACCATCTCTTAATTATCTGGGAAAAAATGCCATCTTTAGCCTTGGAAACCATGCCTTTGCAATATAACCACTCAATAAGTAAAGACTGTTCTCAGCTAGAAACACTAACCTCCCCCCCTTTGTTTTTGTATGTGTTTGTTTCTGTATTTAAGGAAGACATAGTTTAGCTTCCACAAGGAATTGTTCTTCAGAAAGTGAAAATGGTACTACTCGTAATGGTGGAGAAAAGACTGAAGAATCTGAAGGGTAGGAGGCTGGTTCTTTGCTAGATAAGATTTTCTATGAATATCCACTTTAAATTACAAAGCATACAATTGGTAATTATATATATCAGTTATCATAATTTAGGAATTTCATGTTATTTCATGTTACTCAGTTGCTGAAACAGTTGAAATCAAGTTAGTTCATGTGGAATTGTAAAAAAAATTGCTTGATAGGTGTTATAAGTTGTTTTCCATATGAAAAATTCCTTTCTTATACATGTTAGGGATAACATCTCAACGTAAAACTTTGATGAATTTAAAACTCAAAGAAAAACCTCTGCCATTAGTTTCCAATTTTTTTTTTTTTTTTTTGCTTTTTGGATCACACCCGGGGTTGCACAGGGGTTACTCCTGGCTCATGCACTCAGGAATTACTCCTGGTGGTGCTCGGGGGGGGGCCATATGGGATGCTGGGAATCGAACCCAGGTTGGCTGTGTGCAAGGCCCTACCCACTGTACTATCACTCCAGCCCCTAGTTTTTAATTCTATTAAGAAATTAATGTGTATTATGAAATGATTCGAATGATTAACTACTCACTTTATATACATTTAAAAATATATCAATGTATGGCAACTTTGACTTATATTTTATATTTTCATCATCATCATCACTTAATCCCCGTTATTCATCGATTTATTCGAGCGGGTGCCAGTAACGTCTCCATTCATCCCGGTTGCGTGCTAGCGTAGCCCAATGGTATCTGTTCGTTCTAGGAACATGCAGAGCCTCAAACCGATCATTTAGGGTCTTGACGAAGAAGTCTGACCATCTTACAGGTGGGCGTCCACGTGATCTTTTGATGTCCCGTGGAATCCAATCAGTAATGGCTCTAGTCCAGCGGTTGTCTGTAAACCTCATTACGTGTCCAGCCCATCTGATTTTTGATGTCTTGGCAAATGAGACAGCGTCCCTGATTCTTGAGCGATGACGAAGATCAGAACTCCGGATTCTATCTCTCATTTGAGTGAATCATGATATTCCAAGCATAGTTCTTTCGATTCCTCTTTGAGAGACCCGAATAGCGTTCTCATCCTGTTTTCGTAGGGTCCAGGTGTCTGAGGCATATGTTAATGCAGGAAGAATAGTGGAATCAAAGAGATGTGCTCGTAGCTGGAGGTTCTTTGTCCTTTTAGTTATTTCTTCAATGCTCTTGAAGGCATTCCAAGCCGCTCTCTTCCTCCTGCGTAACTCAGGTGCCAGGTCATTCATCATGTTGATTTCTCGACCTAGGTATATATAACTGTTGCATTCGGAGATGGTGGTTCCGTTGAGAGCGAATGGAGCGTCAGGAACAAGGCTGTTTCTCATAAACATTGTCTTCGTAAGATTCAGCTGTAGTCCGACCTTTCCACATTCACGGTCAAAGTCGTTCAGCATTTGTGCCGCTTGGCTGATGTTTGGTGTTATTAGAACGATGTCATCAGCAAAGCGGAGGTGGTGTAGTTGCCGACCATCTATCTTCACTCCCATGTTTTCCCATTCCAGTCGTCGCATGATGTTCTCGAGGGTGGCACTGAAGAGTTTTGGTGAAATGGTATCACCCTGCCGAACCCCTCTCTTGATATGGATGATTACTTCTTTGTAGAATGGTGAGATTTTGGTAGTGAATCCGCAATAGAGCTCACGAAAGATCCTGATGTATTGAGTTTGTATGCCCTGATTGGCTAGGGCTTCCATGACTGCTTCCGTCTCAACAGAATCAAAGGCCTTCTTTAAATCAATGAACGTTAGACAGAGCGGCATCTTGAACTCCCGAGATACCTCAATGAGCTTGGTTATTGTGTGGATATGGTCGATGGTACTGGATCCTTTTCGGAATCCAGCTTGTTCACATGGTTGTCCTTCATCTAGTGTTCTGCTAATCCTATTCAGGATGACTCGAGTGAATAGTTTGTAGATGACAGACAATAGGCAGATTGGGTGATAGTTGCCAATGTCGTGGATGTCTCCTTTCTTGTATAGTAGTACAGTCCTGCTGGTTTTCCATTGGGATGGAACCTTGCATTCAGACAGGTAGCGTGTGAAGAGTCGAGCCAATATATTGATGAGTACTGATGGTAAGTGCTTCAGGTGTTCAGGTCTGATCTTGTCTGGGCCAGGTGCTCTTTGTTTCTTTACCGACGAGATGGCATGTTGGATTTCGGAAGAGAGAACATTGGGAACGACATATCCATCATTTTATATTTTTATATAATTTAATATAAATTTATATAATTTAATATAAAATTTTAATTTATATTAAAATATTTTATATTTTACATACAATAAAGTGCACATATATTTCAGTTCGATTGATTTACTTAATCAAATTTTATTAACTTATGTGGGCTGGAGCGATAGCACAGCGGTAGGGCATTTGCCTTGCACGCAGCCAACATGGCCGACTCGAGTTCGATTCCTTCGCCCCTCTTGGAGAGCCTGGCAAGCTACCGAGAGTATCTCGCCCACACTTCAGAGCCTGGCAGGCTCCCCGTGATGTATTTGATATGCCAAACACAGTAACAACAAAGTCTCACAATGGAAACGTTACTGGGCCCGCTCGAGAAAATCGATGAACAACAGTGCTTATATATTAACTTATGTAACCGTCACTCAAATGAAGATTTAAAGATTTAGAAGGCCAAAGAGATAGTGCAGCAGGTAAGGCACTTGCCTTGCACACAGCTGACCTGGGTTTGATCCTAGCCTGCATATGGTCCCCCAAGCACTGACAAAAGTGATCCCTGTGCTCAGAGCCAGGAGTAAACCCTGAGAAGAGATGGTGTACTCTCCTACCCACCCTCCCCTACCCCCTGACATTTCTTTTTCATCATCTCTGAAATGTCTTTGTATATTTTTTAGTTTGTTCCTTTCTTGTGGGGATGGGAGCTGCCTGGGTCATGCTCAGCTGTTCTCAGGTCTTACTCCTGGCTCTGAGTTCAGGGATGATTCCTGGTGGGGTCTGGAGGACCATACATGGTGCTAAGAATAGAACCCAGGTGATGCATGTGTGCAGGGCAAACACCCTATCCACTGTCTCTTCACCTATATTTTTCAGTTTTGATCATTTTTCACATGAGATATTTATTAATATATAATTTCTGTACCATAACGTTTACCATTTTGAAAAACGCTGGAGATGAATATTGTACAACAATGTGCATGCCACTGTCTTCCACTTAGTAATGACTGAAATGCAGGCCATGAATGTAGATCATTAATAGAACACATTCCTTGCATGTATGATGTCCTGGGTTCAATCCTCAGCACTCAAAAAAAAAAAGGTTAAGTTGGCTCATTATAGCGGTTATTTGTATTTTACTACCAAAAAAAAAAAAATGACACTTGTTGGGACTGGGCAGATGACTCAGAGGGCTGGCATGCATGCTTTCCACACCAGGGTTCCAGATTTGATCCTTGGCACCATATAGTCTCCTGAGCCCCACTTGGAGTGACCCCACAAGCACAACCAGGAATGGCCGGAAGAACATAAAGAGAAATTTACAATTTGTGTAATTCAGTGATTTTTAGTTTATAACAGTTTTTTAGTTATAATAACCTGGTTTCATACAAACCACACAAACGTTATGCTTCATTATACCAACCTTTACCTGTTTATATTTGATCACAGTTACTTGAGAGGTTTTTTTGGCCACATGTGGCGATGCTCAGGGGTTAATCTTGGTTTTGCACTTAGAAATTACACCTGGCAGTGCTCAGGAAACCATATGGGATGCTGGGGATCAAAGCCAGGTCAGGTGCATGCAAGGCAAATGCCCCACCCAGTGTATTATCTCTTCAGCTCCAATTGTGAACTTAATTTCTTTGCAAGAATAGTTTATAAAGAGTTATTCCCTTTTTAACAAAAATGTTGATTTGTCCTCCAGTTTTATTTCAGATGTAATTTGTGGGGGCAGGGGGATGTATTACTGCTTTTTACTATAGTACCAGTGTTATTTTTTATACTTATAGTGTTGTTAAGTTTGGGTGTTTACAATAGTATTGATGTCTCTGGTCTTCATATACAGTTAGTTACCTCACCTCACTACCACCAGAGTGACCAAGACCACCCCTCTCAGGACCCCACTATTGTATTTTTGTGTGTTAGAAATTTATGAAGTTCAAAAGAAACTGTAAAGCAGAATAGCTCTTTTCTTTTATAATCACATGGAGACAATAGTGCATCACATCCATGTTTCCATTTGAGCTGATAGAATTTTCAAGGGAGGACCGGAGAGATAACACAGTTGGTAGGGTGTTTGCCTTGCTTGTGACTGACCCATGTTCTATCCCCAGCATCCCATCTGGTCCCGCAAGCACTGCCAGGGATGGTTCCTGAGTAGTGCAAAGCCAGGGGTAGCCCCTGAGCATTGCTGGATGTGACCCAAAAATAAACAAAAAGAATTCTCGAGGGAAAATAAATTCAAAAAGTTTCATTGTTAAAGCATTCTTTGGTATGTTATTTAAACTTATTTTAAAATATGTAAAAAGCACATATAGTCTTCAGAATCTTTTACCTCTTTATATTTAATGTCTACAGACTTTCAGCTAAGTAGCTATGAAAGATTTTTATTATTAAGAATAATTTTTATCTTTTTCCTATTTATGAACAGTATTACAATTTTAGTATTTAGTCTATTTCTCCTGCTCATTCAAACCCATATAAAGTGCTATTTTATATTTCTCACAAGAAATCGAACATGTTCTTTTAGGTACAGTTTTTTTAGAGCGATAGTACAGCAGGTAAGGTTAATGCAAACGACAGGTTAATACGACCTGCACTGACCTGCACTACCCACCATCATCACATATGGTCCCCAGAGCCCCGCTGAGGAATGCCAAAGCAGAGGCAGGAGTAAGCTCTGAACACCAACAGGGGTGACCCCACACAAAGAAAAGTATTATTTTATTTTTCTTTGTGAAATATTTTTTAAGTTTTAATGAACTTAAACCTTAATATTTTTAAGCCATATACATTATTAGTCATACAGTAAAAGTATTTTTTATTTTATTAAGTCAGAATTTTAGCCAAAATTAATAATAATCTCAAACAAATCAAAACAGATGAAAAATACTGTCAAACCCTGACTTATGGTGAGAACCTCCAAGTACATTTTAATTTTATACTTGAATAAATGTACTCTTTTTGTTTGTTTTTGGTTTTTGGCCCACGCTTAGCTATGCACAGGACTTACTCCTGACTCTGCTCAGGGATCACTCTTGATGGGCTGGGGATGGGTACCATATGGGGTGCCATGCATGGAATCTGGGTCAGCTGCATGCAAAGCAAGTGCTTACCTACCTTGCCTGCTATCTATCTTCTCCAACTCCAACTGTCAATATCCTTCTCTCCTCTTCTAAAGCTAAAATTTTGTTTCTATGTAATATTTTTATGAAGGCCAAACATGGTGATACATGTATGTGATGAAGCAAAAAACTTGAAAGAAGATTTTATTTGCCCACGGGATCTTTTGATAGCAGAAATGAAGTACTTTGCTGAATATTTATCAATGGATGCCCAGCGCTGGGAGGAGGTGGACATTTCAGTTCACTGTGATGTTCACATTTTCAACTGGCTGATAAAATATGTTAAAAGGAACACCAAGGAGAATCAAGACTCTGAGATGCCCAGTTTAGGTAAAAGATAATCTGTTGTTTATTTTGAAGTGAAATTTGTGTGTTACCCCTTAGCTGCTTTAGGCCAAAACTAAAATGTGGAAAATAGTTTGGGCATTAGTATTTATGCTCACATTAATGACTGTCTATTAAGAAATAGACATTTTCCCATTTTATTAAGTTATAGTGAATTTATTAATAGCAAGTGCGCTATTTTCTAGATCGGCAGTTGTGCAGGAACTATTGAGTATCCTTTTTAAAAAAATTTTTTTTGTCTATTGTTTTGCTGTACTTGGTGATACTCAGGTCTTATGCCTAGCTCTGCACTCAGGAAATATTGTCAGTGCTGTGGGGGCTGGCAGGGCAAGGTCGCCTGGGATGGCAAGCTTGCACCACAAGCAAGGCAAGCTTCCTCTCCACTCTACTATGTCCCTGGACCCCTAGAGCTCATCTTCTGGAGGACCTCAGAGGTCATAGTACTTTGCTTAATAACACTATGCATTACTTCTCTGTCTTTTTTTCTTTCTTTTTTAAATTTCTGTGGTAGAGATCCAACTCAGGAGCTCACACACACAAAGCAAGTTCTCTGCTGCTGAGCTACTTCCCAGGCCCTTTTTGTTTTGTGTTGACCTTTGTTCACTTGTTGCAAAGTAATGGAGGGTAAAAGTATTGCAACTTTAGCATATATCAAGGCAGAGCAGCTAACATTATTGGCACACACTATATTCAACATCATGTGCTCGTAGTTAAAACTGGAAAAAAAAAAACCTTTACAGTTCCTAAGAATGTCCTTGAGGGGCTGGAGCAATAGCACAGCGGGTAGGGTGTTTGCCTTGCACACGGCTGACCCGGGTTCAATTTCCAGCATTCCATATGGTCCCCTGAGCACTGCCAGGGGTAATTCCTGAGCGCAGAGCTAGGAGTAATCCCTGTGCATTGCCGGGTGTGACCCAAAAAGCAAAAAAGAAAAAAAAAAGAATGTCCTTGAGGTCGGAGCATATGCCTGGCATGGACTAGCCCCATATTCAATCTCTTACACCTCCTGGCCCTGGATAAACCACCACATGTACCCCAAGTGGCCCTGAGAGCCACTAGGGTAATCCTGGTGCCCCAAGAACAGAGCCATGAGGTCCACAGGACCAACTGTCATTAGGAGTGACTTAAGTCAGACACTGAAGAAAACTACAACAGTGGCAATGTGTTTGTAGCCACTGAAGACACTTATTTACATGGATTATTATAGTGAAGGGCTAAAGAGATAGCACAGCGGGTAGGGCATTAGCCTTACTACACGCAGCAACATGGCCGACCTGAGTTCGATTCCTCTGCCCCTCTCAGAGAGCCTGGCAAGCTACCGAGAGTATCTCGCCTGCACAGCAAAGCCTGGCAAGCTACCCGTGACGTATTCGAGATGCCAAACACAGTAACAACAAAGTCTCACAATGGAGATGTTACTGGGCCCGCTCGAGCAAATCAATGAACAACGGGAGGACAGTGACAGTGATTATAGTGAAAGAGTTTCTTTTCCTTGCTCACGACCAACCCAGATTCGATTCCCAGCATCCCATATGGTCCCCCGAGCACCACCAGGAGTGATTCCTGAGTGCATGAACCAGGAGTAACTCCTGTGCATTGCTGGGTGTGACCCTAAAAAGGAAAAAAAAAGAAGTAATATTAATCATTCTGTTGTACTAAATTTTATATTTCAGAATTTTTTTTGGTCACACCCAGCAGTGCTCAGGAATTACTCCTGGCAATGTTTGGGGGACCATAACAGATGCCAGGGATCAAACCTGGATCAACTGTGTGCAAGGCAAACGCCCTCCCCACTGTACTTTTGCTCCACCCCCTATTTCAGAATCTTTTTGCTCCACCCCCTATTTCAGAATCTTTTTTTTTTTTAATTTATTGAATCACTGTGGGAAAAGTTACAAAGGTTTCAGGTTTAAGTCTCAGTCATGCAAATATCAAACATATTTCCCTTTACCAATACTTATTTTTCATCACGTAGAACCCCAATCATCCCCCCCCCCCATCCTCCCAATGCCTGTGAGGCAGATGAATTCTAGTTAACACTCGATCTACTTTGATTAGATTCATTGTTTCGACAAAAGATGCACCAATATTATTTAGAGTTTACACCCCCAAATCAGACATGCTGAAAAGGCATTGTGAAATCATTTGTTTTCTACAGCTGGTCACACGAATCAAATGATGTCTCGCAGCCGCTATAGCAGCCATGCGATTTAGGATTTCTGATATTTTACTTATTAAGCCTGGAAGTATTTCTGCTGAGAGTCAGATAATTATGAGATTGGTTTCTGTGCTCTGGAACCGTGGCCGTGCCGGAGAGCCGCTTGTGGGGAGCAACTCGTGACCTTGGTAGGGCGTGAAGGACGAGCCGGGAATGCCCCCCTTCCCGTGAGGTTTCAGTTGCCCCATCACGACCGGCTCGTACCTGGCTTTCCATTAAGCTCAGAAGTGGCTGCCATCTTTCTTTCCAGAAGGAAAAAGGTGGAAGGGAGCAACACCCTTTCCCCTCCGGGCAGGCATGGTGGCGTGGATTAATGCATAGTCCATTCACTTTTCTGCTACAAGCTGCCTATGCTCTGCATTAAGTCCTTGTGCTTCTGGGGCCATGGCCGTGCTGGAGAGCCGCTCGTGGGGGCACAGAATCTTTTTAATTAAATTTATAGTAATGTGGATCATGGTGATGGTCATTGGAGTAGATAAAACATGACCTTGCAAGGCGGTCCTGAAGAGAGGCCCTGCAGAAGGGATTATCTGGGCAAATGTTGGCAAGAACAGGGTGTCAGCACCGGGTGTTTATCCTTGAGCCTCACTAAACCTCATAGTCTCATATGCCAAAGACACAGAAACTGTCACATATGCTTAACAGGTCATCCTAACTGCAGCATCTATCCTTGATTGGGATTGGACCAGGGCAAAGCAGAGTATAAAAGTGATAGGCTCTCCGTGTCTGTTTGTGATTCACTGAGAGCCTATCACCTTTTCTACTCTGCTTTGCCCTGGAGACTAACACCCAAGAGTGGCTGGGATTAGTACCAGGAGGTTTGCTCCATGGCTTGGAGGCCAACCACACATGCTAGAGGGTAAAAGGAGCTCAGATAGAGAAGGGAGCACCAAATAAAGCATGTTGGGAGGATCCTCCCAGGATGGGAGAAGCATGCTGCAAGTAGACTATAGAACAAACATGATTGCCACTCAATGCCTCTTTTGCAAACCACAACACCCAAGAGGAGAGAGAGAACAAAAGGGAATGGCCTTCCACAGAGGCAGGGTGGGGTGGAGGGGATGGGAGGCGGGAGGGATACTGGGATCCGCGGTGTTGGGAAATGGTAACTGGTGGAGGGATGAGTATTTGATCATTGTATAATTGAAACCCAAGCACAAAAATTTGTAAGTCTACAACTGTACCTCATGGTGTTTCACTAATAAAAATTAAAAAAAAAAAAGAAAGAAAAGGTGATAGGCCAATAATGCTAAACTTTATATGAGTATGTGATTAAACCTTCCTGTAAGCCAGGGTCCTCTATAAAATATGTGTGTATTTGGCAATAAAGTGAAAATCCATCTGCTGCTTCCTGAGGGTGTTTCTCCGAGCCCTCCTTGTCTTTTACCCCATGTCTGCCCAGATCCAGTGCACAATGTATCCGCCACCGTGGGGAAAAACTGTTCCCCAACTTAGCAAGTATTCAAATACTTTTGAAACAACCTTACTAAAAATAGCTACATAATTTGCAAACATTTAAATGCATAGTGTTATCATTTAAAAATTGTTCTCATTATGATTCTAGTATGATGAATAGCCTCAAAGTTAATGATCTTCTCTTATTTAGTTAAGGAGTATACATATATCGTAACTTAGGCTGCAGTGTTTTTGTTTTTGGGGGGTGTTTTTTGGAGGGGGGAGGTTCACACTCGACAATACACAGGGGTTACACCTGGCTCATGCACTCAGGAATTACTCCTGGTGATGCTCAGGGGACCATATGGGATGTTGGGAATCGAACCCGGGTCAGCCGTGTGCAAGGCAAATGCCCTGTCCACTTGCACTATTGCTCAGCCCCTGGAGTTTTTTTTTATTTGATATGAATCTAATTCTAGGGCAGATATACTGTATTTTGTCTATTCTCTAAATTTTAACTTCATTTTCTGTCATATCTCTATTAAGTACAAGCTGTAGTACGGTTAAATTAATTGTTCTTATAATGTTACATCATTTTAAGTTGAGAAGAGACTACTCTGAGAAGACTGAGGTAGAAATCAAAAGGAGAATTAATTCTCTCTCTCTTTTCAGAACCAGGAAATGTCATTTCTATTCTTATTTCATCAGAGTTTTTGAAAATGGATACACTAGTAAGTATTTTTAAAAACCTCTTTTATTCATCCATGCATTATTTAACATATACTTGGATTTTTCGATATCCAGAAAATTCTTATGCCATCTTACTGAATTCATTGTTAATTTAAAAGTGTGATTCCTTTAGAATAAACTGATAGTTTCTATTGAGGACACTTTGTTCTATTGGGAAGGGGTAAAGGCTACTATGTATCAGTTCTGGAAATTTTTTTAGGGGGGAGGGCAGCAATCAGTGGTGCTCAAGGTTTACTCTATATCTGAGCTCAGGAATCACTTCTGGTTGGGCTTGGAGCCATATGGGATACAGGAATTGAACCCTGGTTTTTAGCTGCATGCAAGGGAAGTGCCCTTCCCACTGTACTATTCTGCAGATCCCTCATGTATTATTCCCAATGTTTCTTGGCATAAAAATTATTCACTAGATTTCGATGTCAAAACTCACAAGGATACTTTTAGTATATGTGTTTTTTTGTTAATCTTTCCCTGAAGTAATTAATATCAGAAAAAAGAATGGGAGGAACAGTGGGTAAGGCGCTTGTCTTACACATGGCTGACCTGGGTACTGACCAGGGTTCAATCCCCAGCATCCCACATAGACTCCTGAGTTTGCTGAAGTGATCTCTGAGCACAGAGTCAGAAGTTAAGCCCTGAGCACAGCTGATGTGACCAAAAAAACAAAACAAAAAATAAAATCTTAAAAATTTTTCCCTAAATAGTATTGGGAAGGTGTAATGGTGGGATTGGTGTTGAAATATTGAATGTAATCAATGTCAACAACTTTATGAAAATAAAATTTAAAAAATTCCCAAAAGTGGGAGCTAGGGAGATAGCACAGATGGTAGGGCATTTGCCTTGCACACGGCTGGCCCAGGTTTGATTCCCAACATCCCATATGGTCCCCTGAGCATAGCCAGGAGTAACTCCTGAGTGCAGAGCCAGGAGTAACCCCTGTGCATCACCGGGTGTGACCCAGAAAGCAAAAAAAAAAAAAAAAAAATTTCCCAAAATTTTTCAAAAAATAAATTTCAGATTGAGAAGAGGGAAAAAAAGACTAAGCACAGCATAACTGCTGCAACTGAAATTTTCTCCCTACAAGTCAGGGGTTTTAAACTCCTTACTATGTGTACTCCTAAGAAGTCATATCTTGTATGTTTGTGTTTGTGGACAACGAAGTCATATCTTATATGTTTGTGTTTGTGGACAAAGATTTATACCTGCCACAACCATAAATAGTCCTGGTTTGATTAACATATTATTTGAAATTGTAAGAAGGTTGAAAATTCTTTTTCTACTTTATATAGAGATATCATTTTGACCTACTAAACTACTTTAAATAGTGTAGATGAACCCAGCTAAGTAAAATTCAGTTAATCCTGACACATAAATCAAGCTTTTAAATTAATTTTGTCTTTGAAAGGACTTACATGATATTATCCTCCATGTACCTTTTATCAACATCCATTTTGGGGGTTTTCTTTTTTTAGGTTGAGCAATGCATTCAGTATTGCCACCAAAATATGAATGCCATAGTTGCTACCCCATGCAACATGAACTGTATTAATGCAAATCTGCTCACACGTATAGCTGACCTGTTTACACACAATGAAGTTGATGATTTAAAAGACAAGAAGGATAAGTTCAGGAGGTAATTTTTAAATTTAATTTGAAATAAACTATTTTGGTTGAAATATATATTTTTATTATAGTAGAATATCTTAATTTTAGAATATAGTTGTATATTTCTACTTTAACTGAAGCAAATTTATCCATAACTGCTAACTCAAGAAAAAAAACCTAGTTTTTTTTATACTGTATGGAACATGTTATGAATTGGGTTAAAATCATTAAGATAGGCCTGGTATAAAGGAAATAGTAGTATGAGATGAGTTTAACAATGGTCATGTAATTAAGGAGCTATTTAGGTTATAGCAAGGAGAATAATTCCATTCTAAGAATGAGTGGCAACAAGGAGAAATGGTATGATGTAATTTGGTGGTGGTGTGGGGGGTAGGAGGGTAGGGGTGGAAGGTTGAGCCATACTTGGCAGGGCTTTTCCTGGTTCTGCTTAGGAGTGACCCCTGGAGGTGATGCTAGGAATATGAACCAGGATCAGTTACATGCACAAGTGTTCTAACTCTTGTACAATCTCTTCACCCTGATTAGTGGATTTGGGGGGCTGGAGAGGAGTACAGTGTGTAGGGCACTTGCCTTGTACACAACAAACCCAGGTTCAGAACTCAGCACCAGATTCCATTCCCCAAGCCCCACCAGAAATGATCCCTGAGCTTAGAGCACTGAGCACAGCTGGGTGTGGCCCAAAAACAAACCAAAAAAAGTGGATATTTTTTGGTTTCGTCTTGCTTTGTTTTGGGGTCACTCCCAGCGGTGCTCAGGACTTACCCCTGGCTCTGTACACAGGGGAATTATCCAAGAGCTAATTTCTTGAAAACAGGATTGAGACCCATAATCTACATGTGGCCTAGATAACAGCAGATGTGACAGGAAGGAAACTAGTAATAGTTTGCACATATAACTGGGATTAATCACATATGTAGAAAATATAATGATCAGCCATATATATGTATGTGTGTATGTGTGTGCGTGTATATATATATATATATATATATATGTATATATTTGGAGGGGGTCATATTTGGTGATGCTCAGGGCTTACTCCTGGCACTGTATCTAGGAATTATTCCTGTCAGTGCTCATTGTAACAGATGGGGTACCAGATCGAATCCAGGGTAGCCGTATACAAGACAAACCTCCTACCATGGTACTATCACTCTGACCCTAATGATCAGTCATATTATGTATAATGGTATATTTAACTTTTGTTGCTTACTTACTCTGTGTCTGATGTTCTTTAGAAACTCTGGGCTGGAGAGAGAGCACAGTGGGGAAAACCCACACTTACATGCCTGGGTTTTCTTTGGCTCCCCATATGGTGCCCTGAACCCTGCCAGGAGTGATCCCTGAGTTCAGAGCCAAGAGTAAGCTCTGAGCACCACCGGGTGTAGCCCCAAAACCAAAAAATAAAAACTCTCTCAACCTGGATGATAGCTCAAAGAGCTAGTGCACATGCTTTACACAAGGCAGGTGTGGGTTCAATTCCCAGAACTGCCTCTGATCCCCCAAAAACACTGCTGGGAGTGACTCCTGACCCCACCCCCCCAGAAACATGCAGGAGTTGTTCCTGAGTGTGTCCTGCCAAATCAAACAAAAACCACTTCATTACCCTCATGAGATATATGAATTTGAAATTATGACCCCATATTTTTTTTCATTTGGGGCAGCATACCTGGCATTGCTCAGGAATTACTCCTGGTGGTGCTCAGGAGATCATATGGGATGCCAGGGATCGAATTCAGGTCAGCCTCATGGACCTGGGTGCAAGGTAAATACTTTACCTGCTTCCTTCAGCTCTTGACCCCACATTTTATTGATTAGAAAGCAAAAATCAGATTAAGCTTTTTATATGTTAAGAGCACATATCACATTATTGGTAGATCCAGAATTGTTAAATCTCAAAACTCTTTTTGGTGTTCAATAATAAAGGATAAAAGCAATAGATATCCGTCAGTTTTATTCTTTTTCCATGCATTATACTTTTTAAAAATTTTTATAAAATTGTTCACAATATTTTATTACATTTAATATTCAAACACCAGTCCCACCACCATTACACCTTCCCACCACCATATTTCCACCCCAAACCCAAACTCTACCTCCCAAGCAGAACCAAAATAATTTAATTTGTATTTCTTGTTGTATACAATCCACTAAAAAATGAGACAAAAAAGGGTTTCTTAGAGAAAAGTGTGTGAAATTTGTTGTATTTCACCCAGGAGCCATTAAGCCCTTCTATAAGAGATTAGTAACATGTTGTTAAAGGTTGAGCCTTGTGTGCTTGTGTGTGTGTGTGTGTGTGTGTGTGTGTGTGTGTGTGTGTGGTGTATGTATAAATATATTTCCCCCTAAGATTGGTTGCTTTCTACTTTAAACTTAATCAAATGTGGTATGGTATATTGGTATATTGGTAGTATAAAGTATGAGACGCCGCCCAGTCCAGGAATAGATCCACTCATGGACGAGACTCATCCAAGCATGTAGAGAGCAGCTGTGAGCATGGCGGCGGTTGAGTTCTGGAGGTTTTCAGCTGCTAACTTTATTCTTCTTGTGAAAACAGACTCTTGATCAAAGGATTCTTATTACAAGTTTTGTTACTGAGAATGCTAGCGAGAACGCTAGCAAGATAATGCAAATTGAGAAAAATTTCTATGTGTATATATAGATTAGTATTTATTATTGTCACTGTCATGTAACTAGTAGAATGAATATAAAAACTTAATTTTTTGATCATTTATTTTTAATAGTAAACTTTTTTGTAAGAAGATTGAAAGACTTTTTGATCCTGAATACTTGAATCCAGATTCTCGGAATAATGCAGCAACATTATACAGGTATGCCAGTATATTTTTTTTATCTGATATGCCTATACGTTATTTTACTATAGTTAAATTTTTCTCTTGGATATTTCTGTATCTTTTTGTTGTAGGTGTTATTTGTGTAAGAAACTTTTGACAAAAGAAACAGAAAGAAAAATTCCTTGCATTCCTGGAAAATTTAATGTAGATCGACATGGAAATATTATCTACATTCACATACGGTATAGTGAAAATAAAATTCATAAAAAGCTTTTTTAATATATTTAGAAACTATAATATATGTAATTTCATGTTTCAAATTTGTTATTGTTTTTTGTTAATTGACTGACCTTGAGATACACAGTTACAAAGTTATTTATGATTGGGTTTTAGTCATACACTGTTCCAACAACTTCACCAGCATACATTTCTCACCACCAGTGCCCCCAGTTCTCCTCCCATAACCCAGAGATATCCTTGGGGCATGTTCTTGGAAGTGAGCCACACATTTAAAAATATTTGCTTAATAGAAATTGTTTCTATTTCTCGATTGAAAAACAGTATAACAATGGAGGTTCTTTTCTCCAGAGATAAGACGTGGGATGTTCATGAATATTTGAATACTCTTTTTGAAGAATTAAAATCTTGGAGAGATGTTTATTGGCGCTTGTGGGGAATAGTCAACTGGCTGACTTGTTCAAGATGTAATCAGGTGAGTGAGTTTATATCCTACTCTGCAAACACTGAAATCAGATTCTTTTTATATGTGCTATTTAATTAGTATATCTGAGTGTGTTTGGATAGTATCTGACATCCTTTTTAGAGAAACTGACAACAAAGTTACAATTGGGCTGTGGAACACCTGCCTTCACTCTCTTGATGATGCTTCTTTCTTTTTTGACTTTTTGATCACACCCAGAGCTGCTCAGGGGTTACTCCGGGTTCTGCACTCAGGAATTACTCCTGGCGGTACTCTGGGGACTATATGGGATGCCGGGGATTGAACCCAGATTGGCTAAATGCAAGGAAAACGTTCTTACCCACTGTACTATTGCTCCAGCCCCCCTAAACTCAGTGATTCTTTATAGATCACAGTCATTTCTGATTCATGTATAAATCCAGGGTTCTATATGAAATTTCTTCTGAATATATAATATCTTCCCTCCCGTAATCTCAATTTGGCAGTGATTTTTATTTTATATTCTAACTGGAAAGCCTTTTTTGAGTAGTGGTCACCCCTGACAGTTCGAGGAGGGGAAGGCCATGTGGTACTGGGAATGGAGCTCAGGCCCCTTACCATGCTAGGCATGTGCTCTACCATCTGAGCAATATTTCTGGTCCTGGAAAATTTTACCAATTGTAAAATAAAGTGTGCATCAAGATCAGTTTAACTTACCTGAATTTTTTTAAGTAATGTTGATTTGCTAGTTAATATTGAGATGCCTCTAGAAAATCCTTTCATTCTTAGCATAGGGTGTACAGCCATCACCACCATCCAATTTTAGTGTTTCTGTCATGACATACAGATTCCTGTGTCCGTTTGCTGTCACTCTCCAATCTGACTTCCAGTCCTAGGAAACTATTCATCTATGTCCCTAGACAGTTGCTTGGGGCAGAAGGTGGTACTCAGGAATTTTTTCTGGCTCTCTGCTGAGGGATTTCTACTTTTTGCAGTGCTGGGGATTGAACTAGGGTCATATGCATTCAAGATGAGCACCCCTGTGCTGTCTCTCTAGTCCTACTACATAAGTCACTTTTGCTGTACTTTTGTGCATGTGTGGTGCCAAGAATTGAAACCACAGATATACGCATGCAAACTCATGTATGTAACATCCACTCATACCACTGAGCCATATCACCAGTCCTCCTTTTGCCGAACATTTTATGTAAATTGAACCTATAGTATGTGATCTTGAGTAAATTATTTTTGAGATTATATCATTTCATTTTGGAAATAATTGGTTTTTATTTCTTTAATTCAGGCTTTTCGCTGTATAGAACTTTCACATTGTCAGTATCACTCAGAAATAGTGATCTATCCTAGTACAGCAAGTACACTGAATACTGTTGGCACTGGAATTTATCCCTGCTGTAGCCAGAAGGTTCTTCGTTTTGATCCCACTCAACTCACAAAGGTAAATTGTGATTGTCAATCTTTTGGAGATGCATCACTAATACAAGGAAGTGATTACCATAAAAATTAGAATGAGAGTTGGATTTCTGGAGAAGGGAGGCAGTCATGCTAGGAAATGGGCCCGATGGAACACCTGGAATGTTGGCAGTAATCCATTTCTTAATATAAATGGTGATTACCTGGATATTCTCAGATATTTGTTAAGGGAAACATTTATGTTTCATGCACTTTGAGTATTTCTTTTTTATATTTCTGTTTGGGTTCACACCCAATATGCTAAAGGCTCACTCCTGGTGGCGCTTCAGGCATCTGGTAGTGCTGGGAATCAAAACCAGACTGCTGTATGCAAAGTATGTATTTGTTAAGCTCATTGAACTCTATCTCTCTGGCCCCCAGTATTATTTTTCTTCTCATGAGGAAAAGTTGTTTAATAGTTGATAAGACATGAAAAGAAAAACAGAACCACGTGGTCATCCCTTAAAACAATGTTTTTCTTTAATGGACCAGCCTTTTTAACGTAGTGTTTCTTACCTGACAGGGCTGTAAAGTGAGGGAACACTTGGTTCTTCATGATCAGGATAAAAATGAAGACATGCTGCCCTGTTCAACCTTCAGAATACTGGACGATCTACACAGGCACAAAGATGTGATCGTGGTGCCTTTTTCTAAGGATGTAGTTAGGTACGGTAGAGATGATGACCCTGTCTTGAGCTTTAGTCCATGCATCCTCGCTCAGAGTCCTCTATCTTAGTGCTTCCCCATCCAGAAGCACGTACATTATTTCAGAAGGTGAAATGAAATGAAATTATATGTTAGCATACAATGATATCAAGCAGGTGCTTATTTAATAGGAAAAACACCTCAAAATACTGACAGTGTAAGAGGCGGAGGCAGCTAATAAAGGAATCCTTCACTTATTAAAAGATTGGTACCTCCCTCGAGCCCACCAGGAGTGATCTTTGATTGCAAAGCCAGGAGTAAGCCCTGAGCACTGCCAGGTGTGGCCCAAAACCAAAAAAAAAAAATTTTATAAGCAAATGAAAAGCTGGAACCTAAAATCTAATTTTTGAGGGGTTTTCCTTTTCCCATGCTATTTAAGCCCTTCTTAAGTGCTCAAGTAGAAGAAAGTTGAAATCATGTTTATATTTTTTGGTTTTTGAGCCACAACTGGCAGTGCTCTTAGGGTGACTCTCAGCAGTACTTGGGACCATTAAGTGCCAGGGCTTAAACCTGGGCCACCAAAAATCAAAGCATGTGTGCTATCCTTTGTGATCTTTCCCTGACCTATCTTTCAAAGAACTGATAAGGGATATCAGTTTCATAAATTTGAACTCTGGAAGGGTCACTTTGGTTAACGGAATCTTCGATGAATTAAAACAACTGTCTCCAGCCTTCTCCCGCTGGCACACCCGCACTAGGCAGTGGGATGGCTGTTGACATCCATGGATCTAAATAGTATGAGGTGGACTAGTGACTTATTTGTTTTGGGGCCATAGCCAGTGGTGCTCAGGGATCATTTCTGGTGGGGATCTGGGGACCTTATATGATATCGGGGATCAAACTCGGGTCAGCTAAGTGCAAGGCAAGTACCTTAACCCTGTACTTGCTCTCGGGTTTAGACTTCTTATACCTGCTGGTGGTGGTAGAAAACCACTGAATTGAAAAATCTAAATGTTGATGTGGCTTCCTTATACTCAAGAACTGTATTTCTAAAGAGCAGTTTTTAAAATATTTACCATAAGAGATATATTCCTATAGAAAAAAATGGCCATTTCTCTGTAAAGCGTCTTCTTCTTTCCAGTGATTCAGGTGTTGGTGTATCTGATGACAAGGGCCTGGACTGTGACATTGTGCTGGAGCCAAACACCCCCTGGGGCCCCAAGGGTGGAGGAGAGCTGAATGCTGTGAGAAGTGTTTGCTGCTTATTCTATTTTTTTTATTGTTTTTACTTTACTGGGGGCCTGCGGGGGCGGGGGGTTCAGGAATGGGGAGGCCTCATGAGTGATGCTCAAAGAGTCCAGGGGCCACTGCCAGCTCTCCTCAGCCAACCAGAGCAAGAGCCTGAGGATGTGGTGTTGCATGGGCTCCCTAGCGCCACCGGGCAGTGCAGTATGTTCTCAGATGTCTGAAGCCCTGGGAACAGTGACTGAAGTAGCTCTTAAAAAAAACTTAAATATGTTATCTGAATGTGTGACTTACTTGCCTTTTGGAAATTACTCTAAGGAAATACCAATTTTCTTCCTTTTTTAAAATAAATGCATAGTAAACCATAGCACACAAAAAGAGAGAGAAAGAGGGAATGTGCCTTTCACGGAGGCAGGCGGTGGGAAGGTGGGGGAGGGGGAGGGATACTGGGAACATTGGGGTGGAGAATGGGCATGGGTGGAGAGATGGGTACTCGAACATTGTTTGACTGAAACACAATCATGAAAGCTTGTAAGTCTGTAGCTGTATCTCACGGTGATTCATTAAAATAAATAAAATTAATACATAAATTTTCCTATTGGAAAGAGATATTAAATATTGTACCATTTTCAGCCGAAGATTTTTGGTATTTTTGATTCTGGGCTACACCTGGGGGACAGGGATCAAGGGACAATATGGGGTGGCGGGGATTGAACCCCAGTCGGCTGTGTGTAAGGCAAGTGCCCTGCCTGCTGTACTATCTCTCCAGCCCTTTAGCCCAAGTTTAAAGTCACATTTTAACCTGGAAGAAAACTTAATTTGTAGCTTTTTTAAAAGCTCTTCTACAATTTCCATACAGAAACAAGGAGCATAAATTTTAGTAGGTAGAGATTTATTAATCTTATTTCTTTGTCTTTTATAGTTCTTGTCCCTGAAAAACTGGACTCTACAACTGGTAAGAGAGCAATTACATTCCATATTCAGGGATCTCTTTCCTCCTAAATATAGCTTAAGAATCTCTCTTTTTTTTGTTGTCTTATTTTGTTTTGGGGCCACACTTAGCAGTGCTCAGGACTGGTAGGCTTGGGGGACCATATGGGATGCCAGGGATTAAACCCAAACACCCTACCTCTTATACTTTTCCTTCAGTATCAGTTAAACAATCTTAACAGTATCTTATTTTTTAGATTTTAGCTAAATGTACATTATACTTTTTGACTTCTACAGTTTTGTATTTACTAAGAATGTCATTGTTGAGCTGGAGCGATAGTACAGAAGGTAGTGCCCTTGTCTTACATGTGACTGACCCAAATTCAATCCCTGGCATACCCTATGGTCCCCTGAACATAGGAGTAAACCCTGAGCATATCCAGGTATGACCCAAATGCCAAAAATTACTAATAAAAATTAAAATGTCATTGTTTACATGTACCAGTTTCTGGCTACTTAATCCATAAAACTTCTTAGAAATATTTTAAATCATTTTTTAGTCACAGAGGACGTTAAAGCAACAAATCTATCATTCCCATTTATTTGGTTGTTTTTTAAAAGAAATTTGTGGCAATGAGTGGCGGTTGTATACACTTGGTTATGGTGTTTACATACTTGGGTGTGGTGTTCACCAAGATTCATACATCTGCTTGTTTGCTTTTTTTCCTAAACCTATTTCCCATTTACTATGCTATTTCCGGTGGCAGGGGGATAGAGCAAAGGACTGGAGTGCATGCTGTACATGCTTGGCTCCTAGAATCACTGCCCAGTACCTCCTGGTCTCCCCTAACACCTCTAGGAGTCACCTCTGAGCACTGAACTGGTAGCAGCCAGTGAGGACCGCTGGTTGTGGCCAAGACAAAAAACAAGTCATCAGGTCATGCCATTTCCACCTTGCAGCCCCAGGCATGGAGCAGGAATTAGGTTCAGTGATGATGGGCAGTATGTGTGGGGAATAGATGCAGGAGACTAAAGCAGAGATGATTAATCAAGTGCATGATTGACCCCAACAATATGTATATATGCTTGTTTGTGAAATTAAATTAATATTGTCAAGTATTATATATTAATAATCTCACAGTCATGGAATATATACCCAGCTGTCTGATGGAGATCACAGATCACAGATCACAGATCATCCTGCTATTCATCGATTGCCTCGAGCAGGCCCCAGTATCGTCTCCTTCATCCTAGCCCTGAGATTATATTCAAGGCTCTTTAGGAGAATGAGACCCATCATGTTACTGGTATTTGGCATATTGGGTACACCACCGGGAGTTTGCCAGACTCTGCCGTGTGGGCAGGTTATATTCGGGAGCCTGCCAGTTTGTCAAAGTAGGAATCAGATGTCATAATAAAATGTCGCGCGGCAGCGAATGCCGCCGCGCGGTTCCGGTATCTGGTTTTTATAGTCTCTGAGTCTTGGCCGCTGATGGGATTACACTGTGCCAGGGGGCCAGTTGGTGGGTGTGACCCCCGCCTACTGGAATTTGGAGGATCTGGGTGGAGATGCTCAACTCCAATCCGAGTAGGCTTGGAGATCTCGGCCCCGGAACCCACGTGGCTTTGTCCCTCTGCCGGTACCTTCAGGTGTGCGGAGAGTGGTCTCAGCATGGTGGTGGCTGGTCCTGGAGGTCGTCGGCTGCCGGAGACCTGGTCGGGGTGGGGAGGAAAGCTCAACCCGCTCCCTCCAAGGGGCCACGGCGAGGAACAGCCAGGCGCGGGGGCAGGAGACTGCACTGTTCTCCCTCCGGGATCTGGTTTTTATAGTCTCTGAGTCTTGGCCGCTGATGGGATTACACGGCGCCAGGGGGCCAGTTGGTGGGTGTGACCCCCGCCTACTGGAATTTGGAGGATCTGGGTGGAGGATGCTCGACTCCAATCCGAGTAGGCTTGGAGATCTCGGATCTGATGGAGATACAGTTGAAAAAATATTGAGTACCAAGGCTGGAGAAATAGTACAAATGAGTAGGCACTTGACTTATACAAGTTGACCTAGGTTCAGTTCCCAGCATCTCATATGGTCTCCTAAGCACCATCAGGAGTAATCCCTAAGCATTGCCAGATGTGACCCAAAAACAAACAAAAAGCATACTGACTACCTATTATGTGCCTGTAACTCAGCTAGAATCTGTGAAGTAAATATATGATGACTGCATGGTAATCCTATCCTAAGTTCAACATCTTTTTTCTGGATGTTGTGCTCAGTAGTAACCATTTTATCAAAACTTGCTTGTCTCATTCATCCAAAATAAATTTAGATAAGTGTGTTTGAAATACCTTCTAGATCTATAGTATTATATAATTTAATAGGACATGTTTTATATTTTTATTTAGAAGCAACAATCATTATTTTCAGAAGAAGAAGAATATACCACTGGATCAGAGGTTACTGAAGATGAAGTTGGAGATGAAGAAGAAGTATCCAAGAAACAAAGTATTGGTTTCTAAGTTTAAATGTCTACTAAATTTCTAAATGTTATACACACAAAGGGCTTACTTTCTTGGGGGTAGACAGATAAGGTAGGGTGCTTTCCTTGCATGTAGCTCACCTGGGTTTGCTCCCCACCACCCCATATGTTTCCCCCATGCCCTGCCAGGAATAAGCCCTGGGAACAGCCAGATATGCTTACCCCACCCCCTCAAAGAAAACAACATAAATAGGGCTTCATTCTCAAGCTGTACTATAAAGGCAAAGGAATTTGCCTTATATAAATCTAAATGGTTATCTGAAGGGAAGTAAAGGAGGATCCATCAAAATTTCTGTCGTGATGGATGGAAACTGGAATTCTGATGACAAGCATAAAGTACTACATATGAAGTTGATTGAACAAATTATAAAATGATAATCCAGGCAGGAGAGATAGCTCAAAGGACTATCGGGCCCAGTCGGGCCTCAGTTGAGGAATTGTTCATTTGTTTGTTCTTGGTTGGGGGTGTTGGGATCACACCCAGTGATGTCAGGGATCAAAGCCCGGTCTCTAGTTTGCCGAGTGTCTACTCCAGCCTTTGGGCCATCTCCCTAGTCATACCCATTCTTTTGTTTGTTTTTTGTTCCATACCTAGTGGAACTCACTGCTTAATCCTGGCTCAACACTCAGGGATCACTCCTGGTGGTGCTTGGGGGACCACTGGGGCTCCGGGGATCAAACCCAGGTGAACCACATGTAAGGCAAATGCCCTACATACTATACTGTCACTCTGATCCTCCCCACTGAGTCTTTTAATGAAAAAAATCTTTTGGTCAGGGATGTGACATAAGCGCTTCACGTTTGAGGCCCTGAACTCCATTCTTTGCATGGTATGGGCCCTGGGTAATACTGGGAGTATTCACTACAGTAATAGAGGAAAAACAAAACCTTTTAGTTAATTATTTTTCAGTTTCACTTACCAAGAAGAAAATGCTACTGTACTTATTTCTTCTCAGTTGACTTTATCACTTCATAAAATTTACCCATAAAAAAATATTCTTGCGGCAGAAAAGCAAATGGACCATGCGTTAAACTATGGCACCATGCCAACCTGGGAGGGAAAGGGTGTTGCTCCCTTCCGCCTTTTTCCCGCCCAGCAGCAAGGTGGCCGCCGCTTCAGAGCTTATTGGAAAGCCAGGTGTGAGCCTGCGGTGATGGGGCAACTGTAGTCTCATGGGAAGGGGAGCGTTACCAACTTGTCCATCACGCCCTACCAAGATCATGAGTTGCCCCACACAAGCGGCTCTTCGGCACAGCCATGGCTCCAGAGGCAAAAGGATTTAATCCAGAGCCTGGCAGCTTGTGGCAGAAAAGTGAATGGACCGTGCATTGAACTATGGTGCCATGCCTCCTTAGGAGAGAAAGGGTTTGCTCCCTTCCGCCTTCCCCCCCCCCCCCCCCCCCCCCCAGCAGCAGGGTACCCACCAGCTTGGAGCTTATAGGAGAGCCAGGTGTGGGCCGGTGGTGACGGGGCAACCGCAGTCTCATGGGAAGGGGGGCGGTACCGGCTCATCCTTCACACCCTACCGAGGTTACAAGTTGCCCCCCATGAGTGGCTCTCCAGCACAGTCATAACACCAGACACACAGAAACCAATCTCGTGATTATTTGGCTCTTAGCAGAAATCCAAAATCGTGTGGCCACTATTGTGGCCGCACAACATTATATGATTCTCATAATCAGCTATAGAAAACAAAGTATTTCACAATGCCTTTTCAGCAATTCTGATTGTTGAGGGGGAAATTCTAAACAATAATGGTGCATGTTTTGTCAAAATAATGTAATCAATGTAGAGAAGAGTTAAATAGAAATCATCTGCCTCACAGGCATTGAGAGGGGTGGGAGGGGGGTATATTGTGGTTCTTGGTAGTGAAAAATGAGTGCTGGTGAAGAGAAAGGTGTTTGATCATTGTATGACTGAGACTTAAACCTGAAAGCTTAGTAACTTTTCCCACAGTGATTCAATAAATGGATATAAGAAGAAAAAAAATAAAATTATGAAAAGAAATATTGATTGGGGGCCACACCTGGCAGGGCTCTGGATGGAATGCAAGAATGTTGGATACTCTACCATTTCAGCCCATCCTCAGATTTACCGCTTTGGGGTATTGGGAGGGGGCCTCCCTAGCGGTGGTCAAGGGCTGTTGGCTGCAATATTCAGTCCAGCAGTCCAGTGCTGCTTGGGCTTAACCATAGTGAGGGCCAGCAGGGCCACACCAGTAGCTCTGGGAATTGAACTCAGAGCCTCCAAACTCAAGACTTGCGCTCCAGCCCTTGGAGCTGTCTCCCTGGCCTATGAGATTCATTTTCTTTCATCTTTTTTGGATAATTTGTGTCTTTTAAGGAATTTGGTTATTGTAGGAATTTGGTTATTGTATCATAGACATAAAATTGCTCATAGAATTTGTGAGTCTGGTGACACGGACCAAACCCAAGATGTCACACATGCGAGCCAAGTGCCATACTGCTGAACTACACCTCCAGCTAGTATTTCCTCTTACCCTTTACTGTATGCTGCATTTATAGTGATTTTTGTGGGGGCGGGGGAGGGTAGAGTCATTCTCATGATACCAGCCCAGTTCTGCTACCTGGATGGCCTATTGCTGGTCTCAGTCTCAGGGCCTGAAGGCAGTGAGCCCCCCTGAGCTTCTCCTCAGCTTCTCTGGCATCCTTTTAAGGAACCCAACTGTGATTTTTTAAAAAATTTTTGCTATCAATAATAAAGTAAAGGTCCTCCTGTTGATCATCGATTTGCTCGAGCAGGCCCAGTAATGTCTCCATTGGAGACTTTGTTGTTACTGTGTTTGGCATATCGAATACATCATGGTGAGCTTGCCAGGCTCTGCCATGCGGGCGAGATGCTCTCGGTAGCTTGCCGGGCTCTCCGAGAGGGACAGAGGAATCGAACTCGGGTCATATTTTATATTTTACTGTAAGATTTTTACCCTTAGGTTTAATATTTCTTTCCTTGTAATTTGAATTCATTTCCTCTTACTTTTTTTAATTTCTTAAGGTAGAAGCTTAAGTCAGTGATATTCATGTAAGACTAAAGTGCTAAAATTTTCTCTACTGATTTACTTGTGGACTGGAGCGATAGCACAGCAGTAGGGCATTTGCCTTGCACGCAGCCAACATGGCCGACCCGAGTTCGATTCCTCCGCCCCTCTCGGAGAGCCCGGCAAGCTACCAAGAGTATCTTGCCCGCACGGCAGAGCCTGGCAAGCTCCCCGTGACATATTTGATATGCCAAACACAGTAACAACAAAGTCTCCAGTGGAGACGTTACTGGGCCCACTCGAGCTAATTGATGAACAACGGGAGGACAGTGACAGTGATTTACTTGTATTCCACACATCTTAATTTTTATATGGTGATATTGTGATAAGTATTTTCTGACTCCCCTGATTTTATCCTCTGGTTTTCTTTCATGTATAGCTGTGTAATTTCCCTATATTTTCTGATTTTCCTTATCCTTTTCAATTATAGTTCCCACTTTCATTCTGTCATGTTCAGAGAAATACTCTAGGTGGTTTTATGCTTTAAATATTATTGGGACATGTTTCAGATTACAATAGTTGGTACAAGTCTTCTGTAATTGTAACCATTTTCTGACTACTCATTCCAATTACAAGTATTCACTTACATATTTTTCCTTTCGGGTCTATTCTTGTGTGTGATTGAACTTTGTAATTTTTTTTTCATGGTTAAGATTTTTATTTGAATTATAATAAATATATTCAAATTTAGATTAAAGTCATATCTTTATGGCATTGGCTCTTATCAATTTATGCTGTTCCATTTCTCCGATCTTCTTTATTTTTTTTTTTATAATTTATTTCTTTATTGAATCACTGTGGGAAAAGTTACAGAGTTTTCGGGTTTAGGTCTCAGTCATGTAAATATCAAACACATTTCCCTTTACCAATACTTACTTTTAACCGCGAACCCCAATAGAACCCCACCTCCCACCCCTCCCAATTCCTGTGAGGCAGATTAGTTCTAGTTAATATTCTATCTACTTTGGCTAGATACATTGTTTCGATAGAAGATGCACAGTTATTGTTTAGAGTTTACGACCCCCCCCCAATCAGACAATGCTGAAACAGCATTGTCAAATGATTTGCTTTCTACAACTTGGTTTAAGAATAAAATGATGTTGCGCGGCCGCAATAGCGGCCGCGCGGTTTTGGATTTCTGCTATTTTACTTATTAACCCTGGAAGAATTTCTATTAAAAGTTAGATAGTTAAGAGATTGGTTTCTGTGCTCTGGGGCCGTGGCCATGCCAGAGAGCCGCTCGTGGGGGGCAGCTGGCGACCTCGGTCGGGCGTGAAGGACGGCCCAGAACGCCCCCCTTCCCATGAGGTCCCTGCCGCTCCCACCACCCCCGGCTCAAACCTGCTGTCCACAAGGCTCCCGTGCGGCCGCCATCTTTCTTTCCAGAGAGGAGCGGGCGAGCGGGTCAACACCCTTTCCCCTCCGGGCAGGCTTGCTGGCACGGTTTAACACATAGTCCATTTGCTTTTCTGCTCCAAGCGGGTGGCTCTCTGTGCTAAGTCCTTGTGCCTCCGGGGCCATGGCCATGCCGGAGAGCCGCTCGTGGGGGGCAGCTGGTGACCTCGGTCGGGCGTGGAGGATGGCCCAGAACGCCCCCCTTCCCATGAGGTCCCTGCCGCTCCCACCACCCCCGGCTCAAACCTGCTGTCCACAAGGCTCCCGTGCGGCCGCCATCTTTCTTTCCAGAGAGCTGAACTTTGTAATTAAGCACATAAATTTATACAATATGATTTTTTTATAATGATGTATCCCTTAACAGTAGTAAAACTGCCTGTCTTAGATCAGAGAGATAGTACAGTGGTTAAGACACTAGTCTTATATGTTCCATCCTGACCCTGAATGGTCCCCTGAGCACAGAGCCAGGGTAGCCCTTCTTCCCCCAGCACCATCAGGTATGACCATAAAACAAAATAGAAAAAAAACTCTTGCCACTATTGACATCTATTTTGTTTAATACCAATATGATCTCTCTAGATTTGATTTGCTGCCTGGTATATTCTATCCCTTTATTTTCAGCCTGTGTTTTTTTAATTCAAAGTATGTACCTTTATTAATATATCGGTTCTTCTGTTTTACTATTCATTTTTGAATTGTTTTCCATATTTTTGTTTCTGTTTCTGCATTTTGTGTTTGTGTTTAGGACATACCAGGTGTTGCCTGGGGACTCTGCAGTGCTGGGGTCAGAGCTCGCATTGTGCTCAGCCCTTCGTGCTGTCGCCTAGCACAGGAGAAACCCAACAGTTATAAGTTTTTGCTTTAAATAAATGTATTTCCTTTAAAGAATAAAAATTAATGTGTACCTTTTAGTCTTCTATAGTTACATACTTATATATCATTTCCCTCATATCTGATAATCTCTCAATTATTAGATGATGTTATTCTATTATTTTCTTTAGTCATTTCTACTGACTGAATTCTCTTATTTTTTAAATTTACCTGAAATGTTTATTTATTTATTTATTTATTTGTTTGTTTGCTTTTTGGGTCACACCTGGCGATGCACAGGGGTTACTCCTGGCTCTGCACTCAGTAGTTACTCCTGGCGATGCCCAGGGGACCATATGGGATGCTGGGAATCAAACCTGGGTCGGCTGCGTGCAAGGCAAACGCCCTACCTGCTGTGCTATCTCTCCAGCCCCTGAAATGTTTTATTTTTGAAGTACAGCTTCCTCACTAAATTTTGTTTAAGAGTGTTTTTTTTTCTTTCAGCACTTTGAACATGCATTTCAGTATTTTCTGGCCTACATTTTTTTCTGCTAAGAAAAAAGCCATTGACCATGTAATGACTACCCCTGTATGCAGTGTGCCCTTTTTATCTTGCTGCTTTTAAGATTATTTTATCTTTGACTCTCAGAAGATTGACTATATGACTAGCCTAGATAATGGTTTTCTGTTTCTTTTGGTATTTGATGGACTTCTTCAATTTTTCCTTCACATTTGGAACGCTCAGTGATGCCCCCAGCTGTTTTCTTGCTCCTTTCTCTTGCCCTCTGATCTCTGAGCTTTTCTTTCTCTTTAACCTTCCCATGGTTTCCCTTTTATTAAATAATTTTTTTAGTGCTTTAGCCTAACTTTCTTTTATTTTCTGCCATTTCAGATTTTCATTTGATCTCATCTAGTAAAACTTCTGTTGTTTTGGGGCCACACCTGGGGATTCTTTCAGCAGTATTCTGGGGAGCATGCCACGTGAGGGATTAAACCGAGGGCTCCTGCATGCAGAGCATGTCTTCAGGCCTTCAAAACTGTCTCCCTGGCCCTCGTGAAACTTTTAATACAGTATTTTCCTTTCCCTTCGCTGTTGTCACTGTGTCTGCAGCTTGGCTGTAGTACTTGCATACACTCGGTTACTATGCTGCCCTGCAGCCTGACATGCATCAGTGGTGAGCTCAGGAGCATAAGAGAAGTGCTGGTGGTTGCACTGAGTGATACAGGGTACCACCAGGGACTGACCTCATGGCCTCACTCACACAGGAAAGGATTGTGCTTTCGGCTCTAGGACTACCTATGAATTCTTTTATAGTCTTTATTTCTTTGTTGAGATTTCTCTGTATTTGCTCAGTAACACAGTTTTGTTTGTTTGTTTTAATGAGATAGTTACAGAGCTTTGAGTTTCAGTCATACACTGTTCCAATACCCATCCTTCCACTTGTGTACATTTCCCACCACCAGTAATCCCGTGTTTCCCCCCTGCACCCTCCCCTGCAGCCTGTCTCTGTGGCAGGCACTTTTCTTCTCTTTCTCCCTCTCTCCCTCTCTCCCTCTCTCTCTGTCTCTGTGTCTTTGTCTGTCTATCTGTCTATCTGTCTGTCTGTCTGTCTCTCTCTCTCTCTCTCTCTCTCTCTCTCTCTCTCGCTCTCTCTCTCGGCATTTATGGCTTGCAATAGAGATACTGAGTGTCCTTCTCTATCCCAACTGCCCTCTCCCCCAGCCCTTCCAACCATGGACCGTTTATCCTGACCCTTTGTTTCTTAGCTTGGGTGTTAGTCTCTTACTATGTTTATATATATATATATATATGTATCCCACAAATGAGTGCAGCCATTCTATGTCTGTCCTTCTGACTTACATCACTCAGCATGATACGCTCCATGTACATCCATTAATAAGTGAATTTCATAATTTCATATTATTTCTAACAGCTGCATGTGTAGATGTACCATAGTTTCTTTATCCATTCATCTGTTCTCGGGCACTCGGGTTATTTCCAGATCCTGGCTATTGTGAACAGTGCTGCAATGAACATACAAGTGTAGATGACACTTCTTTATGTGGTATTGCTGGATCATATTGGAAGCTTAATTTCTAGTTTCTTGAGGAATGCCTGTATTGTTTTCCAAAAAGGCTGGACCAGTCGGCATTCCCACCAGCAATGAATCAGTCCATTTCTCCCTATATCCATGCCAGCATTGGTTGTTCTTAATTTTTTTGATGCGTGCCAGTCTCTGAGGTGTAATCACAGTTTTACCTTAAAAGTCATTGTCTGCTAAGTCCTGGTCCTCTCAGAATCCATTTTTTCTGACTGCTTACTTTCTCACTGGTTTATCCCTTTCAGGTTGTTGCCTTTTTTTTTCTTTAATCCTTAACTTTCAGTTGAAAAATAGATACAATACTTTTTTTTTGTGCCACTCTGACTTATATCACTCAGGGAAGATTGTGGGGTTTTGTTAATTTGACGGTACCAAAGCTGCAAAATCTTTCTTCCCTACGGTATGCATATACCATATTGATGTATGCAATACTTGATGTCTCTGCACAGATTTTTATATTCTACTTCTTATTTTATTTACGCTGTTAACTGCTATTTCTTTGTTCCCCAATAGTTATACTTTCTCTGTGTATTTTAATGGTCAGCAAATGATTTAAACAGAATTTTCATTCATACTTTGGAGCTTGCTTTCTTAATAATTCCCTTGTTTCTTTGATTAACCCCTTTAAATTTCAAATTGTTTTTCTTTTGTTTGTTAGCTTTGGGGCCATACCTGGCTGTGTTCAGGGCTAATTCTAGCTCAGAAATCATTCCTGGTGGGCTTGGGATAACCATATGTGGTGCTGGGAATTTGAACTGAAATCAGTCAGTAGGATGCAAGGCAAGGCACCTCAATCCCTGCACTAGCCCTGCAGTCTATATAATATTTTAAAATCTATTTTTATAATTGTTCTCTTTGAATGCGATTGTCCAAACTCTTCACACTGGTCTACCTATTATATCTTCTGGCAATTTGACAATACTAGGTAACCTCTCAATTTAACAAAAAGACATAACCCAGGATTTGCCAGCAAGCAAGTAACTCTGTCTAGATTATCAATATTCTCATTCTAGTATCTTCAAGGTTATATTCTGTTTTATACTTTCACAGATTTTCCTCTTATAGTAATGATAAATCTCTCTTTGAAATAGCAAAACTTGTACAGGTGTTACACAAATAATTAATGTTTGGGAAACTGATTCAGAGAATTGACCTTTTTACCTTCAAACATTGTTCATGAGAACATATTTCTTTCCTTCCCTTGATTTCTGTCCCTCTCCTTTGTCCATTAAACTGCTAGCAAGGATAAATTTAAAATGCTGACCACAGGAATGTCCTTTTACAGAAACAGTTTGTCTTGTTTTGTTTTTGGATCACACCTGGCAATGCTCAGGGGTTACTCCTAGCTGTGCTTGGTGAACCCTGAGATGCCAGGGATCAAACTTGAACCAGCTGCGTGGAAGACGAGCACCCTACCTGCTGTGCTATGGCTCCACCCCCTACAGTTTGTCTTAAATCTTTTTCTTCCCAAGTTCATTTTTGACTCAAGCCTTAGCAAAAGATCTTTGAGGGGATTTGTGTGAGTTCTTTTCTCCTACCATTCTCAAATTGTGTTTTTCTGGGCAGTAGTTTCCTTTTGTGTTCAAAAATTTGGAATTAGGTAATTGTTCCACTGTTGAATTAGATTTGGAAAAATCAATATGTATTATTTACCCCAACATTTTTCTACATTTAATTTGAGGCTTTTAAATTCATTGCCCCACCCCTCAAGGTATCTACCAATAGAAGAAGAGTGATTAAAATGCACCTCTGTAAAGCACTTTCAGTGTGATGTCCCCATATATATTTTTTCCAAGGTAATTTTAAAGTTTTAAAAAATAATGTATACTTTTTGGGGCTGGAGTGATAGCACAGCGGGTAGGGCGTTTGCCTTGCATGCAGCCGACCTGGGTTCGATTCCCAGCATCCCATATGGTCCCCTGAGCACCGCCAGGGGTAATTCCTGAGTGCAGAGCCAGGAGTAACCCCTGTGCATCGCCAGGTGTGACCCAAAAAGCAAAAAAAAAAAATAATATATACTTTTTGTTTTATTGGTTTGGGGCCACACCCAGCGGTTCTTGGGGGACCATGTGGTACAGGGATTGAACCTGGGCCTCCACATGCAAAACAGCATGCGCTCAGCCAGGTGAGACATCTTTCTGGTCTGAAAAACAGCTGTTTCTTTTTTTCAATGGTTCCATATGGAAGTGAATTGGAGTATATGATTTGCTCTTTAACATTGTCCTTTTCTTTTCAGGAAAAAAAGAGAAACCAAAGAAGTTCACTAAACAACCAAAAAAGCAGATGCCTTCACCCTGTGGAGGTCAAAAGAAAGAAAAGACAGCGGAGAAGGTAACTTTGACCTAAGACTGCCCTGTAGTCCATATTAAGAAGTAGCAGTTATACCTCCCTCCCTGAAAAAAAATCTGAAAGGGAATAAAAAGTACAATGAAATGTTAGCAGTGTTTAAAAATGGGATTGAGATCTCTATGGTTATATTGACAGGTGAATAAAGTAAAGTTCTGGTTTTATAATGGTATATTCTAACATAGAATAGATAGAATTTTATGGTACATATATAAACTATTGTTGGAAAGCTATAAGAAGTTGAGAAGATCGGTTGTCTGCCATTATGAAGGAAACTGACTGTTTTGGTAGAGAGTTTTTTTTCTGTTTCGGTGCTGGGAATTAAACCTGGAAATTTATTCAAAATGTGCAATGTTTGTACACCTTGTTTTGTCCTTGGACTATACCTGGTGGTGCTCAGGAATCACTCCTGGTGGGGCTCAGGGGACCAAAATGGGTTGCTGGGGATAGAACGCAGATTGGCCACGTGAAAAGCAACTGCTCTACTCATTGTATTATCACTCTGGCCCCTGTTCATACATTTTTTTATTTTGAACCAGTATTATTATTTTTTAAATAATTATTTGAAATGTTCAAATAAGTCACATTATATCACCTTTTAAAAGTATTCTTATTTCTTCATGCCTTCAAAGGAAGGAATAAAAACCCAGGTAAGAAAAAAAGGACAGGTATAACCATAGTTGGTTAAAAGAGAAACTGTGGATTTTAGAAATCCATGTGAGAAGCTAGAGTTGGAATAAGTTTCACACAATTAGACTAGACAGGTGTATATTCATCTCCATATTATTGGGTGAATTCTAAAGGATTCCAGGGCTGACAATAAAGCTGGATTAAAATTCTAGGTCCTTGTCTCTTTGGATAAGTTCCTTAACTTCTCTGAATTTGCTTTGTTATAGAGATATCAATAGATCCTGTCTCAAAAGTTTGTTGAAAGGATTAATACTTGTAGTGCTCTTGGTATAGTATCTTACACTCAGTTAAATGTAGGCTCTTTATTATTATTATACCAGTAGTAAATATGTTCTAATTGTGCTTTGGTGTTGTCTACTTTTTTTCAGTCATCTTCTAGAGATGTTTCTCCATTTATGTGAGTATTGCTCTTTAATCCAATTAGATTTCCACTCCTGAAGCACCAATGTTAACTTCTGTTTAACCATTTTAACAGTGTAAGTATGCAGAGAAATAAGTGGGATGCCACAAGATCCTTGAGATTCAATCAGGATGCACAAAGAGAAGATGGTAAGTTTTATTTTTTGGTGTTGTGCAACTTAGGTGAAAATGATTGGAATTGTTCATTTTATGAAGTATCATATCTTTGCTTTTTCTTTTTGGGTCACACCCAGCAATGCTCAGGCATTACTCCTGGCTCTGCACTCAGGAATTACTCCTGGCAGTGCTCAGGGGACCAAATGGGATGCCGGAGACCAAACCTGGGTCAGCCTCAAGCAAGGCAAATGCCCTACCAAGGCACTGTCCCTCCAGCCCCTTAGTGTGATAACTTTAAATATTCCTACTGTAATAAAACCAAAATTAGTACATTTTTTGAGCTTCAACCAGAATTCCATTACTGGACAATCCCTGTAGATAATGTAATAGTTTTATGCACTTATGATATTGAGGTGTATCAGGTTTTTTGAGAGATTTTTTTTCACTCTAAAGATGATTGAATATAGATCTGGGAGATAGCAGATAAGGCGCTTGCCTTGCATGTGACCAACCCAGACTGATCCCTGCCATTGCATATGATCCCCTGAGTGATACCACTATAGTGATCCCTGAGCATACTAAGATATGGCTCAAAAACAAAAGATGACTAAATAATTTTTAGGTGAGTTTAAAGTGATCTAAAAAAAAACACCACAATTATTCAGGTATCAGTCATTTTCCTGCTTCAGCCTAGAATTATTTTTTGTTTGTTTTTGTTTTGGGGGCCACACCTGGCTGTTCTCAGGGCTGTTCCTGGTTCTGGCTCAGGGATCACTCCTGGTGGTGCCTGGGGGACCATAAGGGGTACCGGAACTGAACTGTCTTGGATGTGCAGAGCAAGCACCTAACTCTCTCTCCAGCCCCTTCACTGATATTTTTGTGACTCTTGATGACTGAAGCCTTCTATAAAAAATGAAAGTTACAAATCACTGTCATAGGGAGCACAACGATTACGGCTCTTGGTAGCATGTGTCCAACCCAGGTTTTATCCCCAGCTCTCCATACAGCTACACAAACCTGCCAGGAGTAAGCCCTGAGCACTGCCTGGTACTCACCCCACGAAAATCCTCATTTAAAAAACCGTGTTATTTTTACCTTCAGATCAGCGGCGGATGTCTGAAATTACAGGACACCTGATAAAGATGAGATTGGGGGATCTGGATCGTGTTAAGTCAAAGGAAGGAAAAGAAGTAAGAATTGTGTGCTAATATACTACTCTTAAGTAGGCTCCTTATTTTCATCACCAGGATTATAAAAATGTTTCAGGCAGAATTTTAAAAGGCTTGCTTAAATCCTTTTATATTCTGACCAGTTTGCCATATTTTTTATATGAAAGTGGTTTTTAGCCCTTTTTACCTACAGACTGGCCACCGGTCTGTGCACCTTTAATTGAAACCCACTGCCACGTAACCCACAGAATAAAGTTCATTGTCACTGAAAATATCATGTCACACAGCAAGTAGATTAACTGCCCATTGCTGACTTACCACAGGCTGCTGATCTTGCTCAGCTCTGAGAACAGCACATAGACATTCTCTGAGGACAGTGATTGATGGTCGCTGGCAACTTGAGGGATAGGAGAGGTGCCATAACTTTGCACACCTAAACAAAAACATTAACACTGTTGTAACTTTGCACAACTAACCAGAAACATTAACACTGTTGGAACCGGATCACCTCAACGACAATAAAAATAGAATGTTCTGCTGCTAAATGTGATGACTATATATTACCTACATTACTAGAATTAATTATTAATCATAGTATTATATATAAAGGCCCTCCCGTTGATCGTCGATTTGCTTGAGCGGGCCCAGTAACGTCTCCATTGGAGACTTTGTTGTTACTGTGTCTGGCATATCGAATACTCTCGGTAGCTTGCCAGGCTCTCCGAGAGGGGCGGAGGAATCGAACTTGGGTCGGCCATGTTGGCCGCTTGTAAGGCGAATGCCCTACCCGCTGTGCTATATATGTATATTTTCACAGTAATTTTTTTCTTAATTTGTGTATGTAAAGTTTTTTTCCTAAAAAAGGACTGGAGATGTATATCAAAAGGATGGAGCACATAACTGGTGTATGTAACACCAAAAGATCCCCAATATTGCATGGTCCCCTGAATTCCACCAGATGGAGCACTAGTGACCCCGAGCGCCTCCAGACCTGGCATAATCCATAAAATAAAAATAGTAACAGGGGCCAGAGTGACAGTACAGCCAGTAGAATGTTTGCCTTATGTGCACCCAACCTGAGTTTGATCCCCTGCATCCTATATTGTCCCCCAAGCACCACCAGGAATAATTCTTGAGTGCAGAGCATATGCTTCTAGTAAACCCTGAGCATACCAGGTGTATCCCCCCCCCCAAAAAAAAAAGTAAAAATTGGAATTTATCAGACTCTTAAATATCTTATTTTTAAAAAAATACTATTACATAAAAAGACAAGTTAAAGATATGAGAAAATATATGTAAAACTCTTGACATATGGTAAAGGATCTGTTAAATCTATAATAAACCCTAAAACCCCATTATCAAACAATCCAGTGAAAAGAAATGACCAAAAGATTAACCATCCAGGGGCCAGGGAGAACTCAAATAAGGAATGCCTGCACTTCTGCTTTACACTGATGGGTCCCTAGTTCAACCCTTGATGCCTTGGCACCCCATACCTGGGACTGAGCACCAGAAAAAAAGAAAAGGAAAGAACCAGTCTCTAAATTGAGAGAAGGAAAAACATGTCAAATAAGCACACAAAAAAAGCGCAACATTGGTCATTAGTTTAAATGTAAATTAAAACTTCAGTGAAATGTCACGGTATACCAACTAGAATGACTTAAAAAAAATTTTTTTTGAGTCACTGAGATAGATCCTTACAAACTGTTCATGATTAGGTTTCAGTCATACAGTGACACCCATCCCTCCACCAGTGTACATTTCCCAGCACCAGTGACCCCCAGTCCCCAGTTTCCCTTCCATCACCCCCTAACCTACTCCCAGCCTATCTCTAACCTCCCCCCAGCCTGTCTCTATGGGAGGTGCTTTTCTTCTCTCCCTGTTCCTCCCTCACCCTCCTTCTCCCTCCCCCCTCTGTCTCTCTTCCTCTTCCTCCTCCTCCTCCTCTCTCCCTCTCTCTCCCTCCCTCCCTCTCCTTTCCTCCTTTTCCCTCCTCCCTCCCTTTCCTCCTCCCTTTTGGGTATTGTGGTTTGCAGTACAGATAGTGAAAGATTATCTGATATATTTCTTTACCTACTTTTAACACTCAGTTCTGTCCAACGTGATCATTCCCAGCTATTATTGTCATCCTGGTCCCTTTTCTATCTTATCTACCCACATACTTGTGACTGTTCCAACTAATGAGCAGCCCTCCTAGCCCCTGTTTTTCCCGGCCTTGGATATTAGTCATCTAATATATCATTAAATTCATTTGGGCTGGAGCGATAGCACAACGGTAGGGCATTTGCCTTGCACGCAGCCATCCCAGCCGAGCTGGGTTTGATTCCTCCGCCCCTCTCAGAGAACCCGGCAAGCTACCGAGAGTATCTTGCCCTATGCCAAACACAGTAACAAGTCTCAAAATGGAGACTTTACTGGGCCTGCTCAAGCAAATCAATGAACAATGGGAGGACAGTGTTTGACAGTGTTTCATTTGTGGTATACAAAAATTATATATATATATATATATTATACATCTGCCCCTCTCCTTCCAACTCATTTCACTCAGCATGATATTCTCCATGTCCATCCATTTATAAGCAAATTTAATGACTTCATTTTTCCTAACTGCTGCATAGTATTCCATTGTGTAGATGTACTATAGTTTCTTTATCCATTATTCTGTTCTCAGGCACTCAGGTTGTTTCCAGATTCTGGCTATGGTGAATAGTGCTGTAGCGAACATAGGAGTGCAGATGGTGTTTCTGCTGTGTGTTTTTGGACCCCCAAGGCATATTCCCAGAAGTGGTATTGCAGGACAAATAAGAGTTCACTTTCTAGTTTTCTGAGGAATGATCATATTGTTTTCCCAAAAAGGCTGGACAAGTCGGCATTCCCACCAGCAATGAAGGAGAGTCCCTTTCTCCCCACATCCGTGCCAGCTCTGGTTGCTCTTGTTCTTTTAGAGGTGTGCCAGTCTCTGTGGTGTGAGATGATATCTCATTGTCATTTTGATATGCATCTCTCTGATGATTAATGATGAAGAGCGTTTTTTCATGTGCCTTTTGGCCATTCGAATTTCTTCTTTGAAAATATTGGTGGCTGGAGTGATAGTACAATGAGTAGGGCTCTACCTTGCATGTGGCTGACCTGAGTTTGATCCCCAGCATCCCATATGTCCCCTGAGCACTTCCAGGAGTAATTCCTGAGTGCAGAGCCAAGAGTAACCCCTGAGCATCGCTGGGTATGACCCCTCCCCCCCCAAAAAAAAAACAAAAAAAAGCTTCTGTTCGTTTCTTCACCCATTTTTTGATGGGGTTGGATTTTTTTCTTGTAGAGTTCAAGAAAATGCCTTGTATATCTTTGATGTTAACCCCTTATCATAAGTATATTGGATGAATAACCTTTTCCATATTATGAGCTGTCTTGGTCACTGTTTCTTTTGAGGTGCAGAAGCTTCTTAGTTTAATGTAGTCCCATTTATCTTTGCTTCCACTCAGTCTGTGGTGTTTCATTTTTGAAAATACCTTTAGCTTCAGTATCATGGAGGGTTTTACCTACATTTTTTTCCATGTACCTTATGGATTTGAGTCTGATGTTGAGGTCTTTAATTCATTTTGATCTGACTTTTGCTCATGGCGGTTAAGATAGAGGTCTGAGTTCATTTTTTTTCCCCACGTACTATCCAGTTTTGCTAACACCACTTGTTAAAAGAGGCTTTCCTTATTCCACTTAATATTTCTTACTCCCTTATCAAAGATTAAATGATCATATATTTGAAGGTGTGTGTCAGATTATTCAGCCCTATTCCATTGATCTTCGGGTTTGTGACTTTTTAAGAATATTATGACAAATGGCCAGAACAATAGTACAGAAGGTAGGGCATTTACCTTGCATGGTTAGATCCCTGACATCTTATACAGTCCCCCAAACACCACCAGAAGTAATTCCTGAGTGCAGAGCCAGGAGTAACCCCTGAGCACTGCCAGCTGTGACCCAAAGAAACAAAAAATGTTTTAAATAAAAATATTCTGGCGGAGGGTGGAGAGTTAGTTCAGAGCACAGGAGTGTGTGCCTTGCAGGGATGAGGCCCTGGATTTAATCCCCCTGCAGCTGTGCATCATCTGGTCCAGACGCTGAACCTTAAAATGTGACACAGCTGCCCTGAGTTTCACCTGTAATGACTCTGAGCCTCTGCAGCCCTGCTTGGGAATAAATAAATAATAATTCTGGCAAAAATATGAAGCACCTACAGTATTCATAGAGTTAGTAGGGATGCAAAAGGGAATTTTCAGTTTTTCTAGAAGTTAAACTTCCATTTACCTAACAGATCAGTTCACACATGTTTACCAGTGACTGTAGTCATAACAATCAAAACCTCAAAACAATTTAAATACTTTTTACTTGGTAAGTAACTTTATATGTGGTACATATAAAGAACAAACTACTGATACATGCAACATAGTTAAATCTTATATACATTCTTATGCTAAATAAAAAAATTCAAAAGGCTACAGACTGATTTATATTTTAATATTTATATTGTATATTATTTAGTATTCTGAAAGATAGGGACATAAGAGACCAGTGGCTGCCATGAATTATTATGGCAAATAGGTTTGCTTAAAAGATCAACAAGGAGGAGCTATAAAGATAGTGCAGCAGGTAGGGCAGTTGCCTTGATCATTGCCAACTAGGTTTGATCCTCAGAATCCTGTATGGTCCCCAAATATCCCTCTCAGGAGTGATCCCTGAGCCCAGAGCAAGGAGTTACTCCTGAGGCAATATTGGGTGCCACCGCCTCTGCCCCCCACCAAAGTCAATAAGGAGATACCAGGGATATGGAATAGGGGTTAGGGTTCACCAGAGCACTTGATCCCAGTTCTGTCCCCAGTACATGATCCCACCCCCACTCCCAAATTGCACAGATGGCCCCTGAACAGATCTTCTCAGGCCCTAGTATTGAACCACTGATCAAATTGACTGAGAATCTAAGTGAGTGACCCCCAGCCTCCCTGAGCACCAAGAGTGGGGGACCCAAAAGGAAAGGGGGGATAAGATCAACTGGAGATTTTTCCTAATGGGATGGAACTGTTCTGTTCGACCATTTATTACAAATAATAGAAAACCAGAAACTATAGGCTGGAAAGAGCACATTTTACCATTTAATTATACTTGTAAAATTATAATTCAAAGAGTCTGAATTTTAAAAGCCAGAAGTATATCTAAATTAAAATGGATGCTATTTTAATAAAGTGCAGCTTCTGTTTACTTCATAAAGATAACCCGATTTGCTTCTTTACACTGCAGTTTGCAGGAGGTATTTATTCTAGGCTGGAAGCACAAATCAAAGCCTCGGTGCCAGCCAGTGCACGGCAGACCAGCTCAGAGAAGAACACCAGGTAAGTCAAGGTGAAGGACCTCAGCGGCCGCTGATATGAAGTGGTTTTGGGGTTTTGTTTTATTGGGTTTTTTTTTTTTGGCAGGGGAAGGAGGGATGGGAGCAGGGTATGAGAAGCATGTATGAGTTTTGTTTTGTTTCAAGGATTAGGTCAAGACATTAATTGAAAGCAGATTTTAACTGTAAACTTAGGACTTAAAAATAAGGTCATAAGCACAAAATCTAAGTTTTTTATTGAATCCTGTTCTGAACTAGTTGCTGATAAGTATGTAAGCAATGGTACTTGTATGAATTAGCAGAATCTTTATACTGTTTATAGATAAAATTTTATTACTTTATATAAATATCAAAGTCTTATTTCTAGTGGTCTTTTTTTATTTGTCTAAAATCCAACTTGTTGGTTCTATGTAATTCTATACCAGTTTTCTGCTGGAGATTAATAACTGATATTTAATCATTATTTTTACTACAAATCCAAATGCCTTATTTGTAATTCTGAAATCCAGAACATGCAACAAACTGAAAGATTTTTCATATATTGGAGAGATAGTATAGGGGTTAAAGCACTTGTCTTGCTCGTGGCCAACCTGGGTTTGATCCTGGCAGCACATTTGGTCCCCTGAGCACTCCCAGGACTAAGCCCTAAGCATCGTCGGGTGTGACTCCCAAAACCAAAATATATATATATATATATATTTTTTCCTATTTGAGTCACACCCGGCGATGCTCAGGGGTTACTCCTGGCTTTGCACTCAGGAATCACTCCTGGCAGTGCTTGGGGGATCAGATGGGACGCTGGGAATCAAACTCAGGTCAGCCGTGTACAAGGCAAACGCCCTACCCACCATGCTATCACTCCAGCCCCAAAATATATTTTTATAAAATGATGCTAGCCAAAACTTGAACAGTGAGGCTCTTTATTGTTTTTATTTATCCCAAAATAAAAACTGAAGAAACATTAATATGTTTGTTTATCAGGCATGGCTCCAGATCCAAAACTTATTATATGTGTATTATCATCTTCAAATAAAAACGTTTGAATTCCAAAATACCTTTTACTCGAAGAGTTTTTAACAGTAGGCTCTGGAGCGACATGCAGTTTTATTATTCAACTTTAGTACTGCCAAGCAGGCATCAACTAAAACAGCAGCAACTTCAGTATTGTTTTAGAAGCACCATTGATCTTCCTTTCTGTTTACAAAATATCTAGGTCTAGAAATCGGTTTGGTCAAGGGCGTCCTGCATAAAGCACCTTAAAATGCACCTGAAAAGACAGAAGCACACCTGATGTCTGAGATCACTTACTTCTTACAGATCTCCAGTGACTTCTTTGTGTTTTAATTTATTGTTCTTGCAAGCCACATAAGCTATAATGCAAAGGGAAATATATATCTAGTTGTTATCAAATCTCATTGTAAATATGAAACTTCAATCTTTCTTTAGTGTAGAGTTAGGCTGTGTAGGAAACTCCTATTTACAAATTTGCATAAAAATTCCTATTATTTGTTATCTTTATTTATTTGAAAGAAAAGAGACCTCAGTATAGAGAGGTTTTTAAAACGTTAAAAAAAAAACTTGAGGAACTCAGCTGGTTGTGATACTGAGTCTGTGCACTGATTATAGTATGTCTTTGGGGGATGAAATTGAAAACTGCAATTTTTGTCATTAAATTGCTAGTGATGCTAATTTTAAATATGCATGAATATTAAGGAGTAACAGATCTCAAGAATACATTAAATAAAGTTTCAAGGTGAGGTATTTTCTGTGTTGGGCAGAAGAATTTTTGTTGTTGTTGTTGTTTCGCTTTTTGTTTTTCAACATTATTCTACAGAAAGTACAAGGTTAATTGAATCTACCCCATCCTCAGTCTTTAATATGCATTGCTCATCAAAGATGGAATTTTCTGATTATTGACTCTTTCATCTGTGAAGCTAGTGCCATTCTGAATTTGTTAAAATACCCATAAACATTTTTAGGATAGTAAATCATTTCAGTTGTATAGGCAGCCCTCTGCTGTTCTCAGGGCTCTAAATCCACCACATTTTTATAGCCACTCAGAGAGCCCCTTAAATTTCTTACAACTATTTCTTCCTTTAGCGACATGTAGAAGAGTCCCTACTATATTTGATGGGTTAAAAATTGCATATATTGAGAGAAATCAAAATCAAATTCATAGATCATGTTTTAATTTGTCTAAAAAAGCAGAAATACTGCTCAGGGAAATTTTGTTTCAAAAAGTAAAAATTATGTTTGGAAATTATAGGATTCATGAAATCTTTAGATTTATCACTTGTAGTTTTAGTCTTAATTTGCCTTGTAATTGAAAATTTCTTCATATTATTTAGAAAATATGCAATGTGTGACATAATAACAATTTCTTTTAAAATGTTGAAGTATTACACTCAGTTATTTTAAGCAAATATTTTAGTTGACAAATGAAGTTGATTGTTATTTGATGTTTTATCTGTGATTTTGCCAAGGTTTTTGAGCTTGTTTGGAAATTTTGTTCCAGTTTATGTGTTTTTCAGTATGAAATTTTCAGCACAGATTATATATATTTTTATTTTCAAAAAAGAAAATGTGTTTAAGCATATAATCTGTAAACCCTGTTAAACTCTAGTTTATCAGAGTCTCTGATTAAAAGGATTTGGGCTTTTACAAGTGCTTACCAAGTCAAAGAGAAAAATATGCTGATGGAAACAAGATAGATTGCTTCTCCTCTTTGAGGGTTTGCTCCACTGAATTGATTTTTACAAACCAGAATTCTCAGAAATTATCTTCAGAATGTGCTTTTTATTTTGTTAATGTCTTCAGTTACACTCTTAATAGTACTTCTTTTGCCAAATATTGAGGGTCTCACATTAATTCTGAATTTATGTTTCTCTTGTTGAAATAAATGTTAAAGACAAAAGTGTTTTGAAAAGTTGCTTGATCTGAATCATTTTATCCTGCCTCATATTCCTTGACTTGAAGCTGTACTAAGAAGTGATAGTAGTCAAAACAATTTGGAATCATTTAAAGCAGAAACACCAACCAAAAGAGTATATTTAGAGCCCATAAATAAACAGTTAATAAACAGCTCACTTATGACAAAAGAGCCAAGAGTATAAAATGGATTAGGAACACCTCTTGAACAAATGGTGCTGGGGACCATGGACAGCTCGAAGCACAGGAGCATGTTGCTGGCATACAGCCAGGCCTGAGTCTAAAGCCAGGTGGTGCATGTTCTCCGAAGCACTGCCAGGTGGAGCACTAGTGAGAGAACCTCTCAGGAGGTCCCCCAAAACAAAACAACAAATGGTTCTGGGGGAGTGGGGACAGAAAATCACATGCAAAAGAAAAAGAGAGAGAGAACAAAAGGGAATGCCCTACCACAGAGGCAGGGGGGGATGGGGGGATGGGGGTGGGAAGGATACTGGGATCCATGGTGGTGGAAAATGGGCACTGGTGGAGGGATGGGTATTTGATCTTTGTGTAATCAAAACCCAAGCACAAAACTTTGTAAGTCTACAACTGTACTTCATGGTGTTTCACTAATAAAAATTAAAAAAAAAATCACATGCAAAAGGATGAAATTAGGTCAGTACTTGACACCAGGCTTGGAAGTTCACTCAAAATCAATTGAAGAAAATAGGGTCGAAACTATAGTATAGCAGGCAGGGCATTGCCTGGCATGAGACTGACGCATGTCTTATTCCTGGCAACTCAAGTTTGAGCACTGTCAGGAGTTATCCCTGAGCACAGAACCAGAAGTAAGTCCTGAGCATTGCCCGAGGTAACCCAAAAACAAAAATCAATTGAAGGAAATACAGGCAAAACACTGCAAAGTTTGGGTGCCAGTGGTGTCTCAGGGATTCCACTGTACAGAACACAAAAGCAAATAAATACAGTGACATCAAACTAGAACCCGTGCACCGTGCAAGAAACTCTAACTGAAACAGAAAGATGGGACCCAGGGATGTGGCTCATCTGTAGAAAGCATCCTTTTGCTCATGAGGCTGCCAGTTTTATCCTAGACACTGCCCCATCTCTGAGTGTGATCCTAGCAGCACTGCTGCTGTGATTTCTGGTGTTCAAAAAAGTGTTACCTGGTGAGCACCACAACTGTGGTGCAATCAAGCCCTGACCCCTAGACATCACAATATGAACAACACAAAGGAAGGGAAAGGGGTAATAAGTACATGATAAATTTAAGAAGACATGCTGTTTCTGAATGAGAGATATTCCCACACCATACATCTGAAAAAGGCTGAGATTAAGCTATACACAGCACAAAATTCTACAATAAAAAAACAAACAACTGAGCCGGAGAGACAGTACAAGTGTTAAGATGCTTGCCTTGCATACACCCAACCCAGGTTCAATCCCCAGCATCCTATATGGTCCCCTGAGAACTGCCAAGAGTAATTTCTGAGTGCAAAGCCAGGAGTGAGTCCTGAGCATTGCTGGGTGTGGCCCAAAATGAGTGAAAGGAAAACAACAAAAACAACTTCATCAAAACGGGGATAGGTGGGGCTAGAGCGGTAGCACAGCGGGTCGGGTGTTTCCCTTGATGTGGCCTACCAGAGTTCGACTCCCAGCATCCCATATGGTCCCCTGAGCATTGCCAGGAGTAATTCCTGAGTCCGGAGCCAGGAGTAACCCCTGTGTGTGACCCAAAAAGCAAAAAAAAAAATGGGGGGAAGAGCTGAACAGAAGCTTTACAAGGCAGGAAGCCTTTAGAAATAAGAAAAATATGTTTGTGGTATTACAGATCAAATAAAGTGCCTGGAGAAGTGCAGGAGTGATGGAACTTTGCTTTGAGCACCTGCAAGGATTCACCTGCTGGCTTCTTGCCAGCTCCAGAGGGCCCCATTGAGTCACACTTGTTTTGCCCTTGGCAGTCATCAACCCTGCCAGAAATGATTCTCATCCAGTTTCTCAGAGAGCCAAGGAATTTGGGCTAGAGCATGGAATCACTCTTTGTGGAAAAGGGAAGTCCTAAATTCTTTTTTGTGTGTGTCAACATTTGATTTTCTTTTATTTTTTTAGTGAAGGAATAGCACTGCACTGTAGCACTATCCTCCCGTTGTTCATCGATTTGCTCGAGCGGGCACCAGTAACGTCTCCATTGTGAGACTTGTTGTTACTGTTTGTGGCATATCAAATACGCCACGGGGAGCTTGCCAGGTTCTGCCATGCTGGCAGGATACTCTTGGTAGCTTGCCAAGCATTCTGAGAGGGATGGAGGAATCAAACCCGGGTTGACCACATGCAGGGCATTTAAAAAATACTTTATAGAGGCACAAAGACAAATAAGAATTCTCAAAGGTAGAGGTATATGCTGAACTTAATAAAAATGATAAAGCTTCCATATATTAAAATTTTAATATATGGAAGTGTAGGAGTACTGCAATTTATTCAGTCATTGATTAAGCTGATTGAATTGGGCATGAACCCCATATTTTTAATTTTTTTGAATATCCACGAAATAGACCATTACAAAGTTGTTCATAATTGAGTTTGTCATAAAATGATCGAGCACCCATCCCTCCACCAGTGTACATTTCCTACCACCAATGTCCCCTGTTTCCCTACCACCATCCCCCAACACTCCACTCTCCTCTATGGGAGGCACTTTCCTTCTTGCTCTCTCTCTCCTTTTTCTTTTGTACATTATGGTTTGCAATACAGGTGCTAAGAGGTCATGGTGTTTGTTCAGGGCATTCAAGTATTTTTATTGGGATTGTAAGGCTGGAGTAACTTTTCAATTGGGTGGCCACTTTGGGGAGTGGATGTGACTGCATGGCTTAGCATGGCCGCTGAACACCACCAGGTGTAGCCCCCTGGAAACCAAGGTTTTCCAGTCTCCTCAGATGCATCCTATGTCCCTTCTTTGGGCTGGGTTAGGTTTCAGGCAGTGTTTTCCTCAATATACATAAGGAGGCCCTCATGTCTTTCTGCGTGCAATGCAGCAATAGTAAACTATCATCTCACAGTGGTGAATGGCCTCGATCAGAAAGGCCAGGAACAAGTGCTCATCATATGTGGAGGAAAAAGTTGTGACTTAACGCTTTTCTTATTGCTTACTTTGAAATGCAAATACTGTATGTGTAACTCTAACTGGAAGAATCAAGATCCCAAGTGTGAATCTTTGATACACATTAGTGGCAATATAAGTTTTCTAATTCTTTTCTTTTTATCTTTTTTTTTTGACTTTTTGTGGTCACACCCAGAGATGCTCAGGGATTATTTCTGGTTCTGCACTCAGGAATTATTCCTGGCAGTGCCTGGGGTCCATATGGGATGCCAGAGATCGAACCCAGGTCAGCCGCATACAAGGCAAGTGCCCTACCACTCTACTCTCGCTCAAGCCTCAAGTTTTCTAGTTCTACCACAGGAAGGTATATGGTGTAATGTCAAAAACAAGCTCTTGGGCAGGATATGGCTGAGCTGTAGTGTACTTGCCTTGCACATGTGAGACCTGGGTTTGATTCCCGGCATCACAGAGCCTCCTGCAGAGCTGGTATGAACAACATTAGTCCAGCCCCTAAGCAAAACACTATGGAGAGTGCTT